TCCAAGGTCAGTAAATAACTTCCCTGTATTGTCTTTTCATAATTCATTTTTGCTTTTAACTTTTTAAAAAAATTTAATTATATTTGAAGTTCCAGGACACATGTGCAGGACATGCAGATTTGTTACATAGGTAAACATGTGCCATGGTGGTTTGCTGCACCTATCAACCCATCACCTAGGTATTAAGCCTTGTATGCATAAGCTATTTATCCTGTTGCCCTCCCTCCCCACATCACTGCCCCCCACCGCCACCACCACCTGCAGATCCCAGAATTTGCTGTTCCCCTCTCTTTGTCTATCTGTTCTCATTGTTTAGCTCCCACTTATAAGTGAGAACATGTGGTGTTTGGTTTTCTGTTCCTGCATTAGTTTGCTGAGGATAATGGCTTCCAACTCCATCCATGTACCTGCAAAGGACATGATCTAGTTCCTTTTTATGTCTGCATAGTATCCCATGGTATATATGTACCAAATTTTCTTTACCCAGTCTATCACTTAAGCACTGATGGGCATTTGGGTTGATTCCATGTCTTTGCTTTTGTGAATAGTCTGCAATTAACATACACGTGCATGTATCTTTATAATAAAATAATGTATATTCCTTTGGGTACATACCCAGTAATGGGATTGCTGGGTCAAATGGTATTTCTGGTTCTAGGTCTTTGAGGAATCACCACACTGTCTTCTACAATGGTTGAACTAGTTTACAGTCCCACCAACAGTGTAAAAGTATTCCTATTTCTCCATAGCCTCGCCAGCATCTGTTGTTTCTTGACTTTTTAATAGCCATTCTGACTGGCACGATATGGTATCTCATTGTGGTTTTGATTTTCATTTCTGTAATGATCACTGATGTTGAGCTTTTTTTCATAAGTTTGTTGACTGCATAAATGTCTTTTGGGCTGGGCACAGTGGCTCACGCCTGTAATCCCAGCACTTTGGGAGGCCAAGGTGGGTGGATCACCCGAGGTCAGGAGTTCGAGACCAGCCTGGCAAACATGGTGAAACCCTGTCTCTACTAAAAATACAAAACATTAGCCAGGTGTGGTGGCACATGCCTGTAATACCAGCTACTTGGGAGGCTGAGGCAGGAGAATCGCTTGAACCTGGGAGGTGGAGGTTGCAGTGAGCTGAGATCCCACCATCGCACTGCAGCCTGGGCAACAAGAGAGAAACTTCATGTCGAAAATAATAGTAGGTCTTCTTTTGTGAAGTGTCTGTTCATGTCCTTTGCTTACTTTTTAATGGATTTTTCTTGTAAATTTAAGTTCCTTGTAGATTCTGGATATTAGACCTTTGTCAGAGTGATTGAAAAAATTTTCTGCCATTCTGTAAGTTGTCTGTTTGCTCTGATTTCTTTTGCTATGCAGAAGCTCTTTAGTTTAATTAGATCCCATTTGTTGATTTTTACTTTGGTTTCACTGCAACCATAATATTGGTTGCAAAGCAGAATGTTTGCTTTAGACGTTTTTGTCATGAAATCTTTGCCTGTGTGTATGCCCGTGGTATTGTCTAGATTTTCTTCTACGGTTTTTATAGTTTTGTTTTACATCTAAGTCTTTAGTCCATCTCGAGTTAATTTTTGTATAAGGTATAAGAAAAGGGTCCAGTTTCAGTTTTCTGCATATGGCTAGCCAGTTTTTCCAGCACTGTTAATTATACAAGGAATCCTTTCTTCATTGCTTGTTTTTGTCAACTTTGTCAAAGATCAGATGGTTGTAGATGTGCGGTCTTATTTCTGAGATCTCTTTTCTATTCTGTTGGTGTATGTATCTGTTTTTGTACCAGTACCATGCTGTTTTGGTTACTGTAGCCTTGTAATATAGTTTGAAGTCAGGTAGCATGATGCCTCCAGCTTTGTTCTTTTTGCTTAGGATTGTCTTAGCTATACGGGCTCTTTTTTGGTTCCATATTAATTTTAAAGAAGCTTTTTCTAATTCTGTGAAGAATGTCAGTGGTAGTTTGATGGGAATAGCATTGAGTCTATAAATTACTTTGGGTAGTATGGCCATTTTCACAATAATGATTCTTCCTATCCATGAGCATGAAATATTTTCCCATTTGTTTGTGTCCTCTGATTTCCTTGAGCAGTGGTTTGTAGTTCTCCTTGAAGAGGTCCTTCCCTTCCCTTGTTAGCTGTATTCCTAGGTATTTTATTCTCTTTGTAGCAATTGTGAATGGGATTTGATTCATGATTTGGCTCTCTACTTGTCTACTGTTGGTGTATAGGAATGCTAGCAATTTTGCACATTGATTTTTATATCCTGAGACTTTGCTGAAGTTGCTTATCAGCTTAAGAAACTTTAGGATTGAGACAATAGGGTTTTCTAGATACAGGATCATGTCATCTGCAACCAGAGACAGTTTAACTTCCTATGTTCCTATGTGAATACCCTTTATTTCTCTCTTGCCTGATTGCCCTGACCAGAACTTCCAATACTATGTTGAATAGGAGTGGTGAGAGAGGGCATCCTTATCTTGTGCCAGATTTCAAGGGGAATACTTCCAGCTTTTGCCCATTCAGTATGATATTGGCTGTGGGTCTGTCATAAATGGTCCTTATTATTTCGAGGTATGTTCCATCAATACCTAGTTTATTGAGTTTTTAACTTGAAGGGATGTTGAATTTTATTGAAGGCCTTTTTCGCGTCTATTGAGATCATCATGTGGTTTTTGTTTTTAGTTCTGTTTATGTGATGAATTTATTCATTTGTGTATGTTGAATCAGCCTTGCATCCCAGGGATGAAGCCAACTTCATTATGGTAGATACTGTTTTTTAAAAAACTTCTTAACATTAATATGGAATGTATTGGGGGCTATTTGAGACAGATATTAAGATAGATTTTGGCTATCTCAGATGTGAATGTCTATTTTAGGTAGGATTTAACATAACTTTCCCCAGTTAAATGCCCAGTAACAATACTTATTTCCTTTGTGCATGGCACCTTATCATATACCAGTCTTTTGATGCCCATATCTCATTTTAATTAAATATCGGGTACAGTGAATGCCTTCTCATGATTACTCTTTTGTAAAATTTCTTAGCTAGTTACCTATTTATTTGTCCCAACAAACTTTAAAAACACTATTAAGTTCTCCCCGTTTTCTCCAATCTATACATTAGGATTTGCTTGAAATTTCATTAAGCCTATATATTCAACTGAAAAAAAAAACTTTATATATTTTGTACATTTCCTGCTGAAGTTTTACCTAGGTATTTCATATATTTTGTTTCTGTGAAATATTTTTTCACATAATTTTGAGGTGAAAGACATTCTCAATGGACTTCCATTGTACAACCAGCATGCTTCAACTCCAGTTTGACTTATTCCGTATGTGGATAAATATTTATGAGTACTTTGCTTCACAGACATAAATGAACTTAGCTGGTGCTTGAGAATACTAAGGGACACACAGTTAGGGCAGACCAACTTTCTAGTTTTGAAAGGAACAGGAAAAAGCCACTGGTTACTCATTTTACTCTAACGTGCACAATTGTATAGGTGAAACTAACTTTTTTTTTCTAACTTTTTTTTTTTTTTTTACTGGAGAGGGTGAAAGATAAATTGATGGACCAACGTCTGTCATGACAAGTGAATGGTGACTTCTGAAGACAGTAGGGAACCCTGAGTAGCTAACTGTTCCCAATACTATTTAAGCTTTATGCGTCTTGTCTACCTAATTGACAATCCATTTTGGCATAAGCAAGATGAATAATAGACACATTTCTCCCATGTGAATTAAATTTAAAATTAAGACTCTAAGTAACTGGTATCTATACCAAAGATCGTTATAAAACTGGCCTCCATGTCCTTGGTCCCAGTGTACCCTGTTGTCCTTGGAGGAGGCACACACATCTGTCATTCACTTGCCTGCAGTTTCTGAGGTGGCGGGATGCCAGCCCTGGCCAAGTGTTCACAGTGTAGAGTGCTTTAGACTCTTCTGAAATGAAAGTCAGTATGTAAATGTGCAACATGACATTATTATTCTAGCTTCCTGGCTGCTTTCAGCAAGCACTGACTGCCACATGAGGTCTCAAGTGTTCTGGCATAGTGTGCAAGTGTTCAAAAGAAGTTAAAGTAATGAAATTGGATCTACATTTCCATAGATATTCAAGCTGGCATGGAGGAATGGAGTCATAGAATCAGGGTTGGATGGTCTCCACCAAACAGCCTAGGCAAGTGCCTGTGATGCCAGGCTACTAAGCAGAATTTTCAATTGTGAAAGGCCACCACTGTTTCTTCCTTTGAGTCTAAAATTGCAAAATATGCACATTTCTCCTAAGGTCACTCCACTCTCTAGGTGCTTAAATTTAATGCTCAATCTCTGCCCATCCATGACCTGGAGCACACCAGCTTTGCTTAAATTCAGTGTTTTAAAATGAACTAAGCACCAAAAAGGGGAAAAAATGTTTAGTTAGAACCTAATACAGCATATACTACTGTATAAAATATATGACTATTAGTTTTAAGAAGGAGGTCAGGCTTAGTTTGTATATGATCTAAGTAGTATCCACATAGTAGATTCCGGGTTTTGGTGGTGGGTTTTTTTTTTTTTTTTCAGTTTTCATTGCTCACAAATCTCAAGTGCATCCAGCATTCTATGCTGCTGAAATATCTAGAGCCACAACAAAAGTTAGGTTTTTGGGCGGTGGGGTCAAGAAACTGGGTCCGCTAAGGTATGTCTCGGTGAATCCAGAAGCACTGTAGAATCCGGGTTTGGTAATTCTGGGACCTCCCCTCTCCCTTATACCTTCCTCCCCCAAATGTATGTTCTGCTCATCAGAGCAAGAGCAAAGGAACCCGAGGCTCTTGCTTTGCAGCTATCTTTATAAGTACAAATCCATGACGCTGGGTCCCCTTTCTCCTCATGTTCCTTAAAATCCTGATATTTTCATGGGTTCCAATTATCCATTTATATACACACAAAAATGAAGTTAAGTTTAAAAATGCAAGAGAGGGACAACAGAAATAATTCAAGCAATGAAGAATACCTTTACTCATACAGAATTTCTTTTTTATTGCATTTTAGGACAGTGAAAAAAAGGGATTTATAAATAAAATCTATGCCATCCAGGAGGTTTGTGTCAGTGTCCAGAACATCCTAGATGAAGTGGCTTCCTTTGGCGAAAGGATAAAGAAGTGAGTGACGGTGACATGTGAGCCCTGGTCTTGTGTGGGACAGGGTGTCCATTTGTTTCTCGAAGGGTGAAATGCCACATTCTTTTTGGCAGGGGACACTCCTTCTGGGTGCTCTATTGCTCAGTTTCATCATTATTTACTTTATTTCTGCCAGTCTTTGGCTTTATGAAAGTTCTGTCAATTTCCTTCCTGAAATTTAGAACATATTGGTTGGAAAGAAGTCATACTTGTAGCTTTGAAGAAATAACACCGTCCTAAATTTTAGCACATTTTTCACTGTGAAAGACTTTGTTCTTAAACGGAATATGAAATTGTGATAGGAAAAAAATCAAGCTAAATGAGGACTTCAGGTAATTAAGATACACCTGCATTTTATTATTGGTCTAGTTATATTTTCATCAAGTGACAGTAAATTTTTTCAAAATTGTATTTATGGTACCCTGCAAAAGTATTTTTTTCAAGTTTGTATTTAAATAGCTGAGATCCATAATTATCAATAAACTAATGCTCTTTCATTTAGAAAATACAATTTTTAAAATTATAAAAACAGCATTCCTTTTCCTTGACTTTAAAATTAAGAAATAGAGCTTCACCGAGCTCTAATGCAAAATTAAGAAACTTATATTCTTAATCTTATATACTTATGTTTTATCTAAAACAATGTTTTTTTAAAAAGTGTATTTACAACAATTATTAGTTAAAAGATATACTAAGACCCTCATACTTCTAAATTATGTAAAAATTGGCCTACATAATGATTGCTAATGGTCTATTCAAGAAGGGGTGCCAAATTCTGGAGAAACCTTTATTTTCTTAGTTTAATGTATCTATTCATTGTTTGTTATTCATAACCAAAAGTTTTCTACAGATCTGAATCCTTGGGCATACACAGAATTTGAAAGGAGTAAATTATTTAAACTAAAGGTGTGAGTCATTCATCTGGTACCTGTCATGTTGCAAGGGATAATGCATTTTATTTTGTATAATTTTTTGTTTAATATATTTCCGCATGTGTAGGTGCTGAGTTTCCACTTTCTTACATTATATTAGACAGAACAGCCCCCCTCTCACTCCCAGATGTGCCTTTAGGAAACATTCAGTCTTGGCCTTCTGAAGACCATTCCCATATCTTTTCTTTCTCCTTCTTCCTCTCATCTCCAAGAATGTTTACCTGTCCTCTACACGCTATCCACTGAAACAGTGTGAAGCCCTGAATTTGGGGCATTTCCTCATTGAGTGTTGTCTTTTATCTGGGATACACAGTGTGCTGATACCCGACAAAAACATCTGATTTATACCAAAATACCATGGATCAGGCGGTGAACGCCTGAGAGGAAGAAGCTCCTTTGTAACTCTAGGTGGTAGGAGGCCTCAGAACAGATGCTTGGCTGGAAAACATGACTAGCTGAGGGATATGACCACCAGATCTTGGCAGTGGTTCAGCCTTAGGGAAACCTGGGTTTTGCAGAACTTCCTATGCTAAGGTACAGGAAGATGGCACAGGAGCCAGTGAGTCTTGGAGGAGCCATCTCTCCCGCAAAATGATCTTTTGAATGCTAAAAAAGAGAAATTCTCCTGGGGTCACATGGAATTAAAAGCATCTATCCAGAAAGCAGATTCAGAAGCAATCTTTAAGCACAAAATGAAAGGGCTCTATAATTACCATGTCTTGTTACTAAATAATCATTCCAGAACTTTCTTGAATTGCATCCCTTTTGGGGGAAGATCATATTCTAGATTTAGATTCCATAATGCAGAGTGTAGAAATAGAAAAGGGCAGTTTTATTTTATTTTATTTTTCTAACAGCTACACTGGTGGGGATTCTTTGCCATTTATCCTTCCAATAGGAGTAAGGAGAACACAGGGAATTCTTCAGTGGGGCTGCCCAGAAGGAAGGTTTTCTGAGTGAAGAGCCAGTGCCCTCACACATGGACTTGTGTGATGGATGACTCTAAGCTGAGCCACATGAAAACAAGCAGATCCTTTAGCCTTCTGTTCTCTCCACAAGCAAGCAGAAGCAAGGGAGGCACAGGTGTCCATCGGAAGGGAAGGCATGATCCTTTACCTGATGAGTTACAGATGCTCACTCTTGACCATAAGAGGAAGAAGACAAAGACAGAAAAGCCAGATCCCAAGGATTACTGAAAACAGGATAACCAGATTGACCCAACATTGGCTCTTTTAGTAGAAAAAAATTTCAGGAAACAATTTTGACCTAGAGAGAGACAAAAAGCAAGATACATGCTACAAAGCTAAGGAACAACTAATTCTTAAGTATTATGCTGAGGCATTGTATGGAAGAAAATCTTTTAGCAATCATCCTTTATTGGGTCAAAATTGCCCTGAAAATAAACTCACCTCAAGTAAGTACAATATACAATACCAGGAAATTAGAAGAAATAAAAAACACTAACATTTATCTACATGAACAATATGTTTTGCTGAAGTGTCTTAGGGGCCTTCTCACTGTCTCATAAGAAAATAGTGCCATAAATGAGATTCCTTGAGTTGATTAGTTCTGATAATTTCACCTTGATTCACATAAGCATGTTACCACCACAACCCGTCTTCCTTGACAGAATAAACTATCCCCATTTTATAAATGGGGAAAGGGTTTTGACTCAGCTAAATCCACATAACAGAATCTAGGCTTTGAATACAGATTGGCTAACTTCTTGACTCTCATGCTAAAGGGTCAGACGACATGATATGTTAGTTCCCCTTTAGTGGATGAACACTTAGGAGAAATTTCAAAGAATGCAATGGTATGCCTGTAAATGGTGATATATTTATATGCCCAACCCTGGAGGATCTACACAGTGTTTCTATTTTCTTTATAATTTTGGCACACTCTTAAGAAGTACCAGACTGGCTTCCACCAAAAAGCCTTAAGTGATTATAATCTTCCCATGTTCCATTTCCTTGATTTTTCTACTCTTTTAAAAACATTTTTACATCATAGTTTTTGCCTTTGTCTTCATTTTTCTTTTTGTCTCAGTAAATTCCTTCCTATCTCCTCAGTACTTTTTTTTTTGTAACTTCTGTTCATTGGTCTCATTTCCATTTGTTATCATGTCTTGTCAATACTGAGTCTTGCAGCCTTCTCTGACCCAGCTGTCTATGTTACCAATTACTTCTGCCAGAATGCTGTCCTTTACAAGAAGTACATGAGAGATAATAGTAAGCAATGCTGATTTTATTAATTATATATGTATTTCTGGGAAGAAGGGCAATGATAAGAAGTGAAGTTTTGCAAGGCTAACTGTTCTATTCCTCTTTCCTGATTTCCAGTTCTATTTGAAATATAGCTGAGGTAGGACAAGTGAGTATTCCTCTAAGGAATTCTAACATTCAGAGGATTTTTTTACACAACCATGTAAGATTTACATCTACCAAGAGTTGCTGGCAACATTTTATTCCCAATGTGGGGAATACCGAGAGTTGATAGAAGGAAGAATGGTGGGTCCAGAGGCATTCCCCTCTGAAAAGCCAGAGAAAACAAGGATGGGTACTAGTCTTAGCAGTAGAAAAATAAAGATCTTCTTTCATGTGGGGAGTCACCCAAGTAGCACAACGGCTTTAGACTCTGAAGTCACCTGGAACAATCTGGAGGAGTTGACAGCAAGACTGTTTACCTGGGCCCTGTGTTCATGCAACTGAGCAGATTATGGCTAGCCTGGGTCCTCTGATAACCTATTACAACTCGAATATATTCCAGAGAGAAATGCAGACTAACTAGGTCCCAAGTAAGAATCATTATGTATTTTAGTATTTGAAAAAAGTATGAAGTACTCAGATTGCTGATGTGTTAATTTTCCATTCAGCACTTTCAACTGGACCGTCCCATTCTTAAGCTGGCTGGCCATTGTAGCCCTCTGTGTGTTCACAGTCATCCTGTACTGCATTCCGCTGAGATACATTGTCCTTGTCTGGGGTAAGTAAAGCCTCCCCCACTCCTCTAAACTGTCTTAGCTGCTAGGAACAAACTATGTTTAAGAGATGAGTTATACTGTCAGCGGTTCCCTGTATTTATGGTCAGGAAGCTACTCCATGATGAAAGGAGACAGGTCAGTTAAAAATCACAACAGTATAAAGATTTAGGTCTACCTGCAAAATGTATTTTTCTTATCTGGCACACTAGGCTTCATCATACTATAAACATGTTAGCTGTGCAGATTCTTCATATATCAAAGTGTAGCTTTGTCTAGATATCCCTCTGATTTATTTTCACCATTGATATACAAACAGAGGCATTTCAATCCTTTGAATCCATATGGTGCATTTAGGAAAATATGCTTTTCTTGCTGTTGTATTTTATCTTATGGAAGTATATGTAAACATGGTACTATACATGGCTGCCTGTTTAAGAGGTCACCTTTAGCATTCGGGAAAAGGGTCCTCGGTACTTGCAGGTTCCTTAGGAACAAAAAGATCCTTTTATGTGTACTAAACAAGAATGTTTCTATGAAGACCTACGTTAAAGGTGGTTTTTTTCAGTCCTAATTTTTAATGCAACTATGCTGCATGCCAACGATTCTTATGCACCTGGGCTTCATTTAGGAGACTGTCGGTTGCAGCATTCTTCTTTTTTTTTTTTCTTTCCTGACAAAATTCTTGGTTTGGAAAACAATTTTCAGTCTCTAGGATCTACTATAACATTAATAATATATAAACAAGACTGGGTAGTATAATTCTCTACTTACCCCTCACCCGCTTACACATACACCTAAGATTGCTAAAACAAATCAAATACAAAATGCAAAGAACCAAAATGAGTCTCAGCTTCGGAAAGCATGTGCTTACACTGAAAGCAAAATTCTTTTTCTTTTTAAGGCTTTTGAAGAAATATATTGGAATAAAGTGAGTTCAAGTCTGATGACTCCAAGCCCTCAACTTTTGAAGATTACTATTTCCAGTAATAGTCTTTTTGGCCCAACTTGCCATATATTGAGGAAGCCCTCTTACCCCTTATTATCACTATAATTACCCTTACAGTCTGGGTGAGAGGTGGGGGAAATGGTAATTATTTTTTCCTTTCCTAATTTCTATAATTCAAAGAAATTCAATTTAGACAGCACTTTCATTATATAAGGGAACAATAATTTCTACTACGTTCTTGCTTCCTATTGTATGTTCATCTTTTTTTTTTCCTGTTAAGATGCTGCTTTACAGAAAAAATTAGGGTAGAATATCATGTGTGGCGGTTTATTAACTCGAATCTACCTTGCCTTGGCTTGGGGAATCATCTCTGTTGCAGCAGGTGGTGGTGAATGCCCTGTTCTCCCAGGTTCGCAGAAACTGGAGCCCAGGGCAGACATCTAGCTGTGTAACCTGCAGTGCCCTCACTGACTAGCTGTCTTAAAAGTAATTTTGCAGAATGTGTTTGGGCCTCTTGTTTCATCAAACAAAATAAAACAAGAACAGTATTCCTTTAGTGGTAGGTGATTGCTGAAATATTAGCCAGAAATTTAAGACATAGGTCTTACATGAGGAGACGGACCAAAATCAAGATTCCAGAAGTTTATTCTGCATGAACTCCCTGAAGAGGAGGCAGGATGCTCTAGTTTATGGCTCAGTTTTTACCAATTTGTTGATTTCATGTAAACGTGTTTATTTTTTTTTTACAAAGTTGGGGGCAAACCTTTTCATTTCAGGTTTGAAAAAAATAAACATCATGTGTCTTCTAAACATTTAGCTGGCATAACAGCAGCACACACCCCCACCTCCAAAAAGGTGCATCTTTTGGAAAAGGGGAAACCAAATAAGTTAGACATCTTGCCTTAACAATCTTAACCCAAAAAGTAGGAAAGCAAGTTTCATCATAAATGAAACACTCAAGCAAGGCTTCTAAGTAGACTGTAACACAGGGGGGAAAAAAAGCCAGATATTGCTAATTACTCCCAGGGCACCTCCTTTATTTCCCACATAGAAAGCCTTTCCTGCTTGGAAGAAGCTACTGAAGTACAAAGTGAAAAAGCAGCAGCTGAGCTGGGAAGGAGGAAGAAATGAAGGAGAAAAAAAAGGAGAGGGAAAAAATTGGGTGTACTGGTTCACTGAGTCATTGGCATACAAATTAGATCTTCAAATTACTACAACACTTTTGACAAAAATGTGCTTTGTTTAACTCCAACTTTGTTTCAGGCATCAATAAATTTACAAAAAAGCTTCGGAGTCCATATGCAATTGATAACAATGAACTACTTGACTTCCTTTCCAGAGTCCCTTCAGATGTACAAGTGGTATGTAGGTTTCGTTATTATTGCTATTTTAATGTAGTGTGGTACTGGGTTTTAGCTTTTATATCCTTCTTATTTCAAAGGCTTTAGAAGAGCTGAGTAAAATTAATAAAGCCTGTGTAGCAGATTTTACCAGTCAGAAATTTAGCCTACTTGGGGTGTTATCCAAGAAGAACTTAGACAACGGGAGAAAGAGCAGCTGCATAAAGAACCTACCAGAGCTGTTAGGGAAGATCCTCCTGTCCAAGTTAGTTCAGCTGGAGTTTGTGACGGGGTGTATGACCTGAGGGGAGGAAACAGGAATATTAGATGATGAAAGCAAAATATGCCAGTGGACATTTAAGAAAAAAAATCTTTCCAGAATTTGCAAGAATTACAAGTAAGTTTTAAAGAAGTATATTTTGGAGATCAGTGAGGAGAAGAAAGCTGACTGCTTATCTCAAAAATCCTTTGGAATCCTTTGAGGTTAATGCCCATTAACCATCAGCTGTTTTCAAAATAAAAGAAGGTTTGTTTGTTTTTAAATTAAAATCCTGAAGCTGGGTTAGTGATACCTTTTTCATTTGCTATGACATGACAGTGGCCTGGATGGAGATTAAGACTGTGTTAAACACATGATAAATTGTAAATACACGATAAATTGTAAAAAACCATTATCGAGCCCTTTAAAATCGATGTAGATGGTTTTGCTTTTAATGTAATGTGTTACAGACAGTGACGACCATTACTAAAGTTCACATCAGGGCTCCATGTAGTTTCCAACAGGATTTCCCTTATTCTTGCTCTGTCATTCTACTGCTTTCTGCATCTCAGCTGCAGATCCCATACAGCTTCTAGAATGAGCACTTTCTTCCCCCCAGCACAGTCTCTCATTCCTTTGCTTTTCCTTTCTTTGCCAGAAAGTGGCCATCTGACCAGTCTTCCTCTGAACTCTGTTTAAACAGGTGCAATACCAAGAACTGAAACCAGATCCTTCTCATAGCCCATATAAAAGAAAGAAAAACAATCTTGGCTAGCCAGCTTCCAGCACTGAGGAGACCAGCATCTGTTTGGGAAGATAAAAGAAAAAGCCCTCAGCCTGAGCAGCATTTCCTTTCTTTCAGATTTTTATTTATTTTGCCTTTTTATCATGATCGAGAGAATTTGTAAATAGTGTACAAAGGCATATGTCTTTGAAAATATACTTCTATTGTACAGACTCAACTTGATAAAGGTTTTGCTACTGCTGTGTGAAAGCCTTGTTAGCTGTGGAAAATAATATAACACACTGAAAGAATATAAGAATGATAACATTGGAAGATATATCCTTATCTAATTACAAGTGGATTACTCACCTGTGCTCTGATTAAATCTACATCAATTGTAAATGTCAATTTGATTTTAATGTTTTTTTTTAATGTGACTTTTTTATCTGAAAAGTAATCCATTACAGTTTTCTATGTTTTATACATTTCAAAAGGGAGGGAAATACCAAAGCCTAAATAATGGAATGGATGCATTTCAATTTAACATATATTCTGGCTTTAGATCCCGACATTCACTCCTGTGCAAATTACTTAGGTATGACTAAGCTGATTTTAAGCTAATAAGTGAAGGTACATTCACTCCCTCAAGAGAATCAATACTCAGAAGGTTAGAAAGTTTTCTTTATAGAATTTCAATCATTCCATCTAAAACCTTAAAATCTCTACAGGACTACACAACATAAATACTGCCAGTTTATAAACGATTGCCTATCTGAATTTTTATACCTACCACTACTTTAATTTATACATAGTTAGCAAATTAGCAACCCAGTAAGTACAGTTATCAAAAATACTAGCGAACTACATCCATATCGCTTTTGGTGTCAGATTGTATCTGTGCATCTAAAAATATTTTAATACTCAAGTGCTCTCAGAAAAAAAAAAAAAACTCTGCTTTCTCATTAGATTACTGAAATGCTTTAATTCATACTATGATTTTGTTATTAGTGTGAATTTTAATGTAGAGAATTCAGTGTGCTAAGTGATATGCCAGTGCTTCACTACATTCATTTATTAAAAAAAAATCATTCTTGATTATGCATGAAAACCTGTTTTGTAAAATAAACTGCTTGGGGGTGGTGGTTGCCTTTATCAATGTTTCACTATTATCATAGAATCTATACTTAAAAATTGCATTCCCAAGACTCTTAAAGTAGTTTTTGTATCTCACTCCCTGGTATACTAAGGGAGCATAACTGTGGAAAAAAAATAACTTGGTTGGTTGAGAATGTATTACTTCCCTGACTTGGTAGGGGATTACACTCAGTTGAAATTGCAGCAGACAATGCTTTGCACTACTTTATTAATAATAAACTTGGATAGGGTAAAAGTGAGGGTTATACTGGAAAAATTATAGAAAAGCTAAAAGAATGTATATTTCACTCTAAAGAAAGATTCTTTAACAATAAGTGTAATCTCATTGAAGCTGATTTTTAAAGTATTTTTATTTTAGAGATAAGTTGTTAAATACTATTTCTTATAATAGAACTATTTTGATCTGTTTATATACTATGCTTGAATGTCAATTAAATTCCCTTTCTACAGAAAGGCTTTGACCTCAACATGCTTTATTTAATGTATCATGTTTAAAATGACATGCTTCAGCCCGCATACCATCACTGTTTGTTGCTAAAAACATAATGTTCCATGAACATGGTGTTACTACACAAAGTTTATTGATGAGATAACTGTTCAATTATACCTTATGTGAGACTTTTATGTTCTGTGCTGACAATGTGTACTCAAATGTCTATAAGCCTGATATTCTACAACCTCAGATGTATCTAGTGGATAGTAACCATTAACAGATGACTAATTTGTTTGTTTCACTGTATCAAATTTCAGATTTTAGTTCAATGGTAATGTTGACTACACATTCACTGCATTAAATACAAAAGACAATAATCTTTCCCATGTATAATCAGCACTCTTTTTTTTTTCCGGTGGTTCAGAGATTGATGAGGGATTGTGTGCATATTCTTAAAAATTATATTTCACTTGGAGAAATACAGATTTGGTTTAAACAAACAAGGCTTTTTCCTGAAACTCTGACTCTTATATAAAAATACCTCTGGAGGGGTGAGCATCCAATAAAATTAGAGGAATAAGAACTAGCTTGAGGCACAAAAGTGATATTCAGGGAAATCTTCATTGCTTTTAGAAACTACTACATTCACAGGCTGAAAACAGCATATGTATAGTTAAAAATCTTAACTATTTATTTCCCCTTCTCACATAAGGTACAATTCTGTCTTGAGAGCTGCCTGACTTGCCTTCATTTTGAGAGATTTGTGATGTAAATATTTCAAGTTATCTGACGAGACTGAATATCACTCTAATATCTACTTGGACTGCTAACATTGTAGATGTTGTGAACTATTATATTCCTTTAGTATCTTTTAGTAAATTCACTGAGTCATTATTCATATTCTAAACTATTACTGCCATTAGTGGTGATAATTCATAAATGCATATTTGTGCTTTTTAATTTTTTCCCCACTTATCAAAAATAACATAATAGTACTTCTCATTCATTCTGGTACTGTTCCAGACTCAAACTGATTGATATAGGTTCTGTAGGAATTCCAATTTTTTAACATTCTATATGCACTAGGATAATCTGAGTTGGGAGATTCTTTAAAGGACTCTGTGATATATTGAATACCAACTGTATGACCCTGTTATAGGCAATGGTCAAAGCAATGATTGTATATTAAAATCAAATCTGGAGTTGAAGTACAGTGAGAGCCAAATTTAATTGATACATTTCTAAAAATTATCTTTTATAAAATTTTTAATCTGTATTTACAAGTTAAGAAAAACTCAGAAGTAAACTCTTATCTAGGGACCACAGGAGATTTTTTTTCCACTTTCATCTCATATATAAGGTCTCCTATGCTGAAAGTAGTCAACATTTGTATTAATGTTATTCAAAGGCAGTAATTTCAGCGAATAAACTTGTTAAATGGGCCTAAGTGTTTTATAATGTTGGCTCAGCATTAAGAACAAAAAGGTATAAGGCAGTTATACCTTTTTGCTCCAGAAATACAAGACAGCTACCATTATACTTCTTGAAAAACATCTCAGGTATTATTAAATTAATACTCGCTTAAATCCTGGGGCTTTAAATGAATAGCGTGATTTCACACACTAGTGTGAGTGTGTGTACAGATGTCTATTCATTGGTTTGATTAGGGTATCTAGGATCGGCCTTTTCCAATTGCTCAGTCAAGTATGAATTTAAACCAGATAGAAAATAATGTAGTAAATTCTTTCTTAAAATAGTGTCATTCCTTTCAATTATAATTCTTTTTCCTGGGATGATTGGTGTAACTGAAAGAAAACATTATTTTTTTCTTTTTTTTTGGTGAAAGTGTTACCCTCTGGTACCTCAGTTTCTTTTATATAGTGGCAATTTGTATAGAGGCAGTCACATCAGATTTATTTCAGCTGAATGGCTAAAGTTTGAGAAATACTATTGAAAAATCTCATTAAAAAAGAATAGCATGCAAATAAAAACTATCAAATGTCCAAAGCAATCACATAATGTAGAAACTAAGAGCACCATGAAAGGTTTGCTGGAACTTGATTCTGTGCTTTTCAAAGGAGGGATCTGGGTTAAGAATCAAAAAATAAAAACAAGCAAATATTGTAAATGATCTCGAATGAGTTTCAATTTATTGGGCTCTTCCCTGACATTCTAAGCTTTAAAAAAACAAAAACAAAAAAAAAAACCAAACAAAAGTGTTCTATTACATGCACAAGCAGTAATTTTGTCAAGACAGGTTTTTAAATTTATATGATTATCCGTACCTCCAAATGTCACTGAAAAATTATTACTCCATTTTTAAAAAAGTAAAATACACTGCTGTTCTGCTTTAGTCAATTAAGTGTTACTATATTAGGTAGAAAGATTTCTTTCAAGGAAAGTGGAAATGGTTTAGGTAAGTAGCCGTGCCTAAGTTTTTTCAGTATGTAGGAAAATTACAATTGCAGTGCAATTATCCCCTACTACAGATTCTTCAATATTCCTTCCAAAGAAAAAAGGAGTGGCCAGCCTGAGCCAATGAGTGAACCTGAAAACTACCTTATTTTCTCTGGAGGAATACATTTAAGGAGATCCTGAGGCCTGGCTGAGTGGAACTAGTGCTCCCACTAGTGAAGAAAGATGATAATATAGGTTCAGTTTCACTTTCTAGTCAAAGACAAGCTCAAAATGGCTTGAGTCCATTTGAGGGATTTTATTTTGCCAGAGTTCAAATGCTGACAGGTTTGGAGGAAATGCTAAATTCATAGAAAAAGCACAGCTGGCCCTCACTACTCATACTCGTCTTTTGCATTATTGGAGACACCTAAGAAGAGTCGAGCATTGTTACAGAGACAGCTGGACCACAGCAGAGAGAGGACGGGAAGCAAATGACAATATTTGTCCCAAGTTCAAAGAACCCTTTTTAACAAAGCTATCAGAGAACTGAAACCTTATAACAATATGCCCCACAAAACATTCTTTTCTAGAGTAGTAATTATGAAAAGTCAAAATCTCTGTGTACCTTGTAACACTGCAACCATGGAAAACAATTTATCGGTGTCAAGAACTAATAAGTTCTTAGAAAAACTTTACAAAGATAGAAGTGTCTATTTGCTATTATACACGGCGGAGTATGTAATTTTGTCATCTTTGTTTTACAACAGAGGAAGTAGCTAACAATTTCTGAGCAAAAAAACACAATGGTATACCTACCTCTTACGTTTGGCCTAAAACTCTTACAAACTTCAGTTTCCATTAACAGAGAACACAGCAAAGAGTAAGAGGGTCTTTGAAGCACACGAGAAGCCATCCAGAAAACACTGTACGTATCTGACAAAGGAGTTCTTAAACAGATTATTGTGATGTTCATTATTTGTGTGAAATTGCTTGACATCACTTTTAAAAACATTCATTTTCAGAAGAGAAAAACTTTTTAAAAATCAAAACATACAGCACTTGGTAATTTAAGCAAGAACAAAATACTCTGACTTATGGGTTGGGGTACCAAGTATTCACCATCCAATCTTGCACACTGTGATGCTACGTATTTGATACATAGTACATTTAATGCATATTTACTTGATTTCCCTCCCATGACTGTGACAATAGCCCTGACCCGTAGGTAAGAAATCTTCCCCCAAAAAACAGATGGATACTATCAGGTGGTACTATAGTTACCATGTAGGTATCCAGGTTATTTATACAGAACAATTGTAAAAAGATTGTTCTGAGTTGTACTACTTAAAAGAGTACCTTACAAGAAGCTATTCTGCTGGCCTTCACAGAAGAGATGCAAAACAGTATGCTCCGGAGAGCTGTGGTAAGATACTCTCAGAATTCTCTCGACAGAGGGTTGTATCTGTATTAATGTTGCAAATAAGTTATAAAGTGGATATTTTTTCAGATTGATGATAGAAGAAAAAATTCCTAATACAGTAGTATCCTTTCAAAGCCATTTAAGGTATAATCTTTGAATAAATGTAGCTATCATTTAATCTTACCAGTTTCTCCCTGCTTTTGTGTTGAATCTGAAAAGTCTCACCAGAGAACAAGTAATTCTTCAGGTCCCATAAATACTAAAATCAGAAAGTAAAGATATGTTACATGTTATGACTCCACATGGTATCCACATGAGCAAGTTTAATCTTTAGCAATTTAAGAGTACTACAAAAGAGTAAAGTTCCCCCAGTTCCCACTTCAACATACTTGGGGCTCCATTTTGAAGTGTCTTAAAGCAAAGACTAGAGAAGCGTATCAGTAAAGTGGTAAGTCAGATTCACTTTCAAAAAAGGAGCACATATATAGTGTATTTTTTGAGATCTGTGTTAGATAATACTAATTATACTTTTAATTATATCCAACTTTAAATAGTATATTACAACTGTAGTTTACCTTTTAAAAATCCAGTAAGTGCCAGTTTAAATAAGGCAACTTTAGAAAAATTTCAAGGATTGATTCTTACTTAATACAGGAGCATTACTTTCAAAATAAATTGGTTACTGGTATTATAAACAAATATAAATCATTACAAAGAAATCTGGAGAAGTGAAAAAGAAATATCCAAAACTTTTCCACATAAAGACAATCACTATAAGCAATTTTTTACTTACAATCTTTTTCCTTATGTAATTTAGATAATATATTTATGTTACTTTTTTTAAAAAAGAGAGTCTTGCTGTGTTGCTCAGGTTGGCCTTGAACTCCTGGGCTCAAGTGATCATCCTGCCTCCGCCTCTCAGGCAGCTGAGACTATAGGCATGTGCTACCATGTCTGGCTGAGAAAATCATTTTTAATAACATTTAGCTTCAATTTTAAAAATATTAGTATTAGTAAAAAATGGTATTTAGGTAGAAGGTCCAACCATTTTTAATAAGTAGCTTTCAACTCTGAGTCCATTTCCTCCAGTAACATGGCTAAGTATGAACTTAACAGTATTTTGGGGGGTGTAAAAGAACTGAAATGACAGGAAAATAAGAAATGAGATGCCAAGATTTGCCTGTGAGAAAGAACTGAGTATTACTATTCGAAACAGCCTTTTTCTCACAGGAAGACAAATACCACGTGATCTCACTTATATGTGGAATCTAGGAGAGTTGATCTCATAGCAGTAGACAGTAGAATGGCGGTTACCAGAGGCTGGGAAGGGAAAAAGTGGGGAGGCAAAGATGGGGAGAGGATGGTCTCAAGGGATACAAAGTTAGTTAGATGAACTAAGAAGAGTAAGTGCTGATGTTCTATTACATAGTGGGGCGACTACAGATAATAACAATGTATTATATTTCAAGATAATTTCAAAAGTGGGCCTTGAATGTTATCACCACAAAGAAATCGTAAAGATTTAAGACAAAGGACATGCTAACTACCATGATTTTATCATTATACAATGTACACATGTACTGAAGCATCACACTGTACCCTAATAAACATGTACAATTATTATGTGTCAATTGTTTTTTAAAAAACGGTGAAAAAAAATCTAGCTTGTTTCTGATACCATTAGAACTGGAATTTTATTATTCTTTATTTTTTATTAAATTGAATTTCAACCAAAGAAACTTCTATAAAACAATTCTCTGGACCTTTGGTTTAGTTTATCAAATGTTATTCAAAATTTTCAAAGACCCAGTTTATTTCTGAGATTAGTCTACATACTTTTTGTCTGATTTTATACCTTCACTAACTTCCATCAATATAATCAACAGTACCTAGAAATCTTTACCCTTCGGATTCCTTTAAGTAGAATGACTCAACCATTTTTCCCCTCATCCCCTTGACCAGTTTTCACCTTTACAATTCTGCTTTTAAGTTTTCATGGAAAATTTCATGGAAAAAACACATTTTAATTTTACCAGATTTTACTTATTGTTCTGTAATTTTATCTCTAATGTAAAAAGGAAAGAATGCAAAGTAGAAAAACGCATCTTTAGGATGAAGCCAGGTAACAAAGATATATATTCCTTTAAACAAAAATAAAAACACTATCATAAATCAAACTATTCTGGTCATTAGAAAAATTTATTAAGAGTCATGTCATAAACATTGTTGACCTAACCTTTAGATTGAGAAGTCACTGACAACAAACTAAGTTATTTTCATCTGTCAACACTTTAAGATTAATGATTTTTCAGTATTACTATTTATTTCACTTTGAGACAGAATAGAGAAGCAGTGGTAATTTTAGTTCATCTACTATCAAGAAAAATAACAGTATGATAGGTATAAATTCAAACCTGGATTCCAGATTTTCAGTTCAGAGCAACTTACTTTCTGGAAGTGCTAAATCTTTTGTTTTGTTTTTTTGTTTGAACTTCCACTCTTTGGTAGAATGAAATTGTATGTCCCAAACTAGTAAGCCATTCTCTATTAATGTTTAACATCCATAATCGCTTGATCCAACTCAGATACTTTGGCAAGGAAGAGGATTAGAGTTCCAAAATCTGGGTTCTACATCTAAAAAGATTTGGGGCCATGATATAAAAATCACTAATTTGGAAGTATATGTTTTAATTCTAATTGGGAATAACTATTTATAAATACCTGAATAAGGGCTTTTGGGATCTATATTTGTTAAAGGCAATATGATATTATATATTACATATATAACAATACTACATATTTTGTTAGGAATACTGTTTAATAAATAGTCATTTGCTGACATAACATTGTTGATCTTTAATTCCACAAGTAGTTTAAAAACCCAGAACAGAGTTCATTATACTTCTGTTTTAAAAAGGGGGTAGGAGAGATTATCAATATGTCTCTTGAAAAACAAAAAGGATAACATTCTAAAAATAAAGTCACTCGTATCTAGTACTAAGGATTATATTTCAAGCTTTTTAAAAAACATAGTTTAAGTGTATTTATAATCAAAACCATACACTTACACTAAAAAAAGACACTAATAAATTCAAATATAAAAAGTATTAGGAACAGCTTGTACATATTTGAGATGTTCTGTAAGATTAGTATTTAAGAAGACAAACTCTTTTTAAACATCTTATAATCAATGATGTTAAAATGTTTTATTTCTTTTGAAAAGGTCTTTGACTAGGATTTGCATTACCTTGAAAATGTATGCTCAGAACCAAGTAAAACAACACTTCAACCTTATCTAATTAATTTATAGCCTATAATTTCAAAATATATACCACAGCAAATAACTACCAAAGTATATTCTCCAACTACAGTTCATTTTTATCTACAAGGTGAATTTTCCGATAACATAATTTGATTTACAAGGAACAGTTAACTATTCCGTGTCTCCTGTTTTGACAACACCAGGCAGAGCCTAATTCCAATAATGCTATCACTGACCTTTCTAACTCAATCCACATTTGTTATAAAAACAATTATCATTCCTAGTTTTGCAAGTTCCACGTCAGCAGGAGGTGCAATTGGCGTGAAAGCTACCTGATAAATGCCTCAGGGAAAGAGTGCCTCATGTCACTCAAAGATGACCCCTTCCTACTGATTAAGGAGCAACAGTGACAGGTTCTCATCAAGTTCACTGCTTAACTGGAAAGGTGTATAAAGGCATAAGGATTGCACATTCCACCAATTTTTTTTTTCATGTGAAGGTATTCATTTAACTTTCTCTAACAGCATAAACAAAAATGGCAGATATTTTCTGCAGGTTATATACAGTATCTTAGTGTTAATGCATTTGTACTTTCTTAAAAACACTAAGACTGCAAAAGCACACCCTACATCCTATCCACGCTGAAATAAAATTGCTAAAATAATACTCATCAAAGGATTAAAGTACTGGACACTTGAATATTCACATTTATAAACTAAAACAGAACACCAATTATTACTGAAAATTTCAGAAGCCTATAAAACTGAAATTAATTTTTTACCAGATGTAGAAGAAAATAAAATTCACAATACTTAAGCCTTATTTACCTTCCTAGACTGTGGGCCTTTCCTCTTTTTTTGGTAGTTAGCCCTTGTCAAGCACACCACCTGGTTCAGAGTAGGTGTTCAAGAAATGCTGAATTCAAAAGAATTAATTTCACATTTGACTTTTATGAGGATAAATGTTTTTCTGGTCATCTTGGAATGAGTAAAATGACAGAATATGTATATACTTGGACGATTTTAATCTGCAAAGTGAAATTAAAAATTAACAACCTAGAAAACTCTTAACTTCAAAGAAATTTAAGAAACTGCCAGTAAACACCGCATGGGGAAAAGCTGAATCTTAACTGCTCAGAAATCTCCTCTCCAATTTTATTTACACTATAATAAGGTCTCTTATAGAAATTTTTAAAAATATGATTCCATAGAACTATGATACCACATCTGGCAAAATACAATGAAGAATAGCATTTCTCAACCTTGTCTTCATATGCAACTTTGAAAAGTCTGCAATTGAAAATCTACGACTACGACTATGAATTATACTTACTGAGAATTTCTTCTTCCTATACCTCCAAGATAGATTTGGGCAATTATTCAAGGCAATTATTATTATGTTTTCTAAAATAACGTATATAAAGTAATTTTGGAAATGAAGCCTTTTATTGAAAATTTAAATTCAAACTCATATACTGGTATTATGTTAGCTAGGGCACAGAACACAGGAACCTGTGTTTGCCATGTTGGACTTTCGAAGAAGTGTAAAACTTCCTACAGGCAGAGACCTCAATGACATCTGTTTCACACTTCATGTCATCACTGCTTGTAGAAGTTGGCAGACAGAACAGTCAATTACGAAATATTAATGCTAATTGCAGCTAAACAAATATATCTTATGAACATCTAATTTGGAAAACTACTTTGTCTTAACAGTATAAAACCCTAACTCATGATGTTGATTACTTAATTACCTTAGAATTACTACCAACTTAAACAATTACTATCTTGTCTTTTGTCTAAATGACTCATTATAATCAAAAGAGGAGGTAAGAACTAGAAAGGAAACGATATTTATTAAGTGTCATATGATGTGATAGGCTAACAATTCTATCATGACAAAGCTACCTGGTGTGATTTCTATTTGACATGTAGGAAAACCAAGCTCAGAAAAGAATTTGCCTTGCAATTTAGTTATTAAGGATCTAGACAAGGATTTGAAAATGTGTATGATGTCAAAGCCTATGTTTACAAGTTTATATTAGTTTACCAAGAAAACACTATCCCAGACACCATTATAAAGAGGAACTCCTTGGAATAAAAAACATTCTTATTCATCATCTGGAGAAGCACTTTACTCTCTATAAGTATTTAAACTTTTCTTAGTCTTCATTATATAATTTTTTCTCTGATACTTTGGCAGATTAATAATAAAGAGATTTGCATGATGCCAAATTTGAAGGCTAAATAGAAACTAGTATTTCTTGAGTATGTATGAAAAATTACTTATTTAAAATATTTCATACTGATGTAGCAATTTTCAATTTAGATTACAAACCCAGTAATATGATACTGAGCATTTGTATCTTGTTAAAATATCTATTTGCAAAATAAAACTGAAGTGTGTTGCTTTAGCAGATTAACTGCTGTAAAGTTATCACTTGAGTTACATAAAAGCTAAATGGAAGTGTTTATTTTCCACCTGTACCATAATGTAACTTACTCCCAGTAGTGAAGAAACTCCAATTTCAAAAGTGGTTATTATCTATACCCTTTCTTTTAGTTTTACTACAAACTGCTATTAGGAAAAACTGCAAATTAAAACATTACTACTCAGTAAATTCACATTACATATTAAGATCTTAAATAATCTCAAATCTATTACTTAGATGCCACTCATAATCTTTATATTAAACTCATAAACTTATGCAGCAGAATATTTTCAGGTACAGAATATTGGTTACATAGGGCAGCGACATACATTTTGTATATGAATTGCTAAAATAAAACAGATCAAAGAATTGACCTGTCAGACTCTGCGTATTTGCTGCATTTAAAAACCAAAAGAATATTAATTATTACTGTAAATTTTAGAAATGTTTATTTTAGAAACACACAAAGCTAAAATGCATATTTCAGTCCAACAACCTGGAGAGAAAAAATAGGGAGCTACATGTTTTTTGTTTAGTCTTGTTTTTTCCTCAAAATCCATCCATAAGAGTCAGGAGCTACAAGTTTATAGGTACACATTTGTATGAATATCCTTGCCATGATTCTAAGACCTAGAACATCTAGAATACAGGACATTACATTTTGATTTGAAAAAATATTTAAATTAATTTTACACGTACAATATATCACTTTCAGAACAAAAAAATTAAAGATTAATGAAAGTAGAATATACTAAAACAAAATTATTTTTACTTTTGAGTCAAATTCTACACCATGGAAAAAGTCAGAAGCCCATACTAGAGTTCTGCAGAAGTTTTTAAAAAAATGCTTTTAAAATTTAGCAAGGCTGCAAAGTCTGTCAATAAATAAATCAAATTACTATCTGTCAGTAAGCTATGAAGTCCACAGTAAGTGCCAATGCAAACGGAACAGATTTAGAAAGTCAATCCATCCTTTCTAGCATTATCATGAAAACTCTGTGACTGACCGACACATCATTTCCAATGTTACCATCAAGGCCTCAGTGTGTACTCCAGGACACACTTTTAAATTCTCAGGCAGTTCCTTAAGAATATGTGGGAGTTTCTGCAATGTCTTTATATTTCTAGCATAAAGATCCAATAACCAGTCAGTATGAACACTGGTGGTTTCTTTATGACTTTTACAAGCCATAAGCAGTTCATTTAGATGAGTTAACCCTTTGGAAGCTAAAATGAACTCTGAAGATAAATCAAAAATTGAACAAAAATTTAGCAACATCCTACTAAGTAAAAATGAGCCAAATTCAAGTTGCTGGTAATGAAAATGTTTCTCTGCTTGTGCATGAAAGTTCTCCACTGTATCTTCTACTTTTGTAATAGCAAACAGTTCTTCTTTGATTTGAGGTGAAACCACATAGTCCAAGGGCAATTCTCCCTTAGCATTCCTCTGTTGTAAAAGCACTGGGCCTGTGAAAAGAAAATGCAAAATGTTACATGTAAAACACTTCTATTTTGGCAGCTTAACAGCTGTTTTCTCTTTTCTCCCAAAGCATCCAGGGCTTTCTTTACAATCATATTTTGTATTAATTCAGGTTGACACAATTAACTGGCTAGATATATAGACTAATAAAGGTACATTAAAAACACTCTAGTCAATTACCTAATAAGGTTTCCCCAAACGTGCGTGCCTTAAATAAATAATACAACTACAAATATTAAAAAGAAAACTTTTATAAAACTTTATCAATTATCATCTTAAGAATTTCAGTGTTCCCAGAAGAAATTTTAAAAATGTATTCATCTTACACATTCTGTATAAGAGCCTCAGGGGTATCTCAAAATATCACCAAGAGGAAAAAGTAGTGCCCCTTTCATTGCTAATAAACAATTCTAGCAGTGCAAAGACTGCAAAACCTTGCACAGATAGAGAACACAGTTTTCATATTACCCTTGCTTGTGTTCAATGTTTAGTACAGGTAACTGATTCGCACAAATTACATATTAATTCTAGATCAAACTCAGAGCTCATCCATCTATACAAGTTAAACTCATTTAACTACCTACTCAGAAAGTACTAAAGATAGAGTTTATCCCCTAGGTACTAAAGGATGATGTGGAGGAGGCAAAACATAACTCAGCATTTGGTTACATAGCAAAGTATAGGAGTACTTTGTGCCTTCATCAGTCAAGTCTTATAATTATTTATGCACTTGGCCATAAAAACGTTACAGGGGATATAAAGGTTTTAGTACTAGCAGACATGATCACAAGGTCCTACCATTATAACATAGATCATATTGTCAGAAAGAGAGAACTGATCATAACTGCTAAAATTCTTAATGATGATTCTGATCAGACATATATAATAGCATAGATATAAAATGTACTTAATATAAAAGATCAACCATTGATAATATGATTAATGTATAATTTATGGAAAGAAGGTAATTCTAAAACAAAATTAGGCTCCTTTTCACTGTGCCAACATCTCAAAAAAACTGTTCCAAGTTACTTCTGTTTAAAAAAAAAAAAAAAAAAGAAGAGACAAAATTACGGACACAGGACACAAAGGTTTTAGAGACATAAATAAATTCTTGAAATTATTGCTCTCGAGGCTGAGTGACTCACAATGAATAGATAATGCAGTTACTTCAATATAAGTGTCAAACCACTTGACAGGTCCAAACCCAGAATATGACTAAGGCAGAAACAAGTCTGTACGATTGCCAAAGGACTTTGATAAAAACAAATACAATTAGATTTCCTCTTCTAGGATAAGAAACTGATCTCTTTACTATTCTCCACTAAGGGCCCTAGAAAAATTCACGTTGGTTGGTATAATGCCATACTCTACTGAAGAGCTGGCCCTAACACAATAATGGCTCCTAACAAATATTGGCCTGAATGCCAGACACATGGTTGAGTAGAAAAATAAAACACTGAGGAGGTGAACTTATGGTTTAGTAAACACAGAATACTAAAAAAAACAAGGTAGAAGAACTGAAAAATATATTGACTATGAAATGATATCAGTAAAAGAGACACGCTAAGGCCTTTAGGGGGCAGGAGAAGACTATATATAACCAAATGTCTTAAACTACCATGCTATACAGCCTTCCTTAGATGCATATATACTAAAAACACATCTTAAGAAAATATGTTTTTTGTCTTTATGCACAATCAAATATTTTAATTACAGGATAAGATAATGTTAAATTTAAATGTAAAATTAATACAAATAAAAGCGACAAGTAATTTCTACAAATCTTTGTTTCCATATTCTAAGCTGGTCATCAGTTTTCTTTTTTCTTTAAAAACACCAATCCGTTTTGAACATTTTGTTGTAAAATTTACATTATTCAGTTTAGATATAAGAAGAATGACACTGAAATAATGTGGGGCCTTGCTGAAAGCAAAGATCAAAAATCAGCAGGAAAAACACAGATGAATATTCAGTTCAAGCTACTCTCCTTCACAAAACCCCTGCATAACAGTTATCACCATTTGAAAATCCTCCTGCTTTAACTTAATTGGCTGCAAAATGCGAATGATGAAAAATATTCTAGGATATCATTTTTTACAGTCTGTACAGAAATGACTCATTAAAAATAAGATTGAGTTTGTAGTTATATACAGGAAATGAAAAAAGAATGAAAAAATCCAGGCAATCACAATTGAATATTTGTATCCCTTTATCAATAAGCTTTCAGAAATGACTGGCTCACAAAGACATTACACACCTGAAGGAAAAGGATAAATATTTAAAACCAGCAAACTCAATTCAAAAATAAACTCTCATACACGAACCTAAATAAGCTTAATAATACATACATAAACAAATATATATTATGAAAAGGCTTTTATCTCTACTAATAAAGGGTGCTTACATTTTAGGAGACTTTTTATCCTTACTTTTTCATTAATATGAAATAAAGGCATCTTTCCTTGCAGATTTTAAACATAAAATGTTATCTACCTCTGCAGGATTCATCAAAAAACTGGATAATTTATCAAAACCCATTTAGCATAAACACACTCACCCCCATGCTGTAGTAGCAGCTTGCCAATTTCTACATGTCCGTTTGACAGTGCATCATGCAAAGGAGTCACCCCGTCCACTTGAGTGAGCAGATCTACCTCTGGACAACGTTGCAAAATTTCCTGGACACACACTGTGTTGCCATAGTTACAGGCTTCATGCAAAGGCGTCCAGCCAGCATTGTCTAAATTAGAAATCAAGGCAAGTTTTAAAACGGCAGAAGTAGGACTTTTGGTAGGAAAGTACTGATGTTCTACTTTTCTCATCAGTGTGACTTTCTAGGTGCTTCATATACAAAAAGAATGCTGTGATAAAAATGTCTAGGGTGTAATCATATTTCTACCTTAAAAATTTAAAAACAATTTTAAAATATTAATATTGGGTATTATCAAAATATGAACACAAAAATGTTTTTATACTATTAGTTATAAATCAATATATGATAAATTTCTTGGCTTTGCTAAGAAATTTTTCTTATACTTTTAAGATACCTTAGGTAAATTTACTTAAATAATTTCTCTTAATGTGATATAAAACTGTTTAATATCACAAATATTAAGACATTGGACTAGACCACAAAGATTTAAAACTTACCTTTAACATTGATGTCTATTCCTGGCAAAGAGAGAAGAAGAATCAATTTCTCCACTTGGTTATTTATGCAAGCTCTATGCAGGGCTGTTTCTCCTGCCATAAAAAATTAATAGATTATTCCAGAGAAGACAAGATATCAACTAAAGAAAATAATCAAAGGGCATGAACTAGGAGATCTGGCCCCATGCCAGAAAATCATTTATTGAGTTTTCCTTTTGACTGGTTTAAACATCTCCTGCATTAAAAAAGGGGGGGGAAGGGGAAGGACCCCCACCAATCCATACTGCTTCTGTTCTATCAGCGACTCAGCAATGAAATTCTACCGCAAAAGGTTTAACACAGGCATTGTCTCCCCTAGTTCAAGGTTTAACGCTTCAATCCTGCTATAAAACCCCCAAATGATCAGAGAACACCGAAAATACTGGGTTTTACAGCAATAAAAGTTTAGAGTGCAATTGCCCTCTCTTAAATTTATTCATGAACCTACGTTAAATGTATGGCTCTTTTTTATACAGCATTTATAGCTTAATTCAAATGAATGTTTCTGGCTAAGCATGAGTGCCTCTACACACTCAAGTATAATTCAGAACTTCAAATCCATTAACAGATGGTTTGCTGCTTCTCAATAGGCTGTCTGGCTTGGCTACAACAGCACAGAGAGGGAGAAATGGAGGAATCTTAATATAAACACACCACACACACACACACACACACACACACGGACGTAAAAAAAAATCCTTAGTACCATTTAAAGCTGAACAAGAGTAACAAATAGAAAGACAAGGTTTTTCTAGGAGAGATGCAATTAATGCCTTCTGGCTAAAATTGTCTATATCCATCACTGTTATAACCAAGGTTAATAAGATATAAGTGATTATTTAAGGGGAATTTTTAAAAAATTACTATAAATGACTGCTTAGGAAACAAAATGAAATACTGAATCAAATTTGTTATTGCTATAAAATACTAAGTACATTTTTACAGTGTTCAGTTTTACAGATTATCTCTGTAACTTCTACAAAAACATTTTTTACATGCATAAAAAGCTTTTGAAGTTTTTCTCTACTATATCTCAATTCTCTTCCTCTCTCCCAGTTCCTTCTGCTGTTCTGCCTAAAATCATTCATATTCATTTTACTTTTTGAAACAATAAAACAAAGAAAAAGGAACGCTGATTTGTGAAATTAATATCTGAGTTCTCATTTAATACAATTTTCATATTCCAAGCCAAATGGACAGTTATTCTGAATCTATAATATGCAATTATGAACTTATATCATGTTAAAATATAAGCACTTCACTGTCACTATTTCCATGGGTGTCATAATGTTAATATTTGTATTAAAAACAAGATATAACTCATAAATAACAACAACAACAAAAAAGACTCAGCAATTTACTTTGGCCAGGTAAAGACTTCTGGAAGATTCATTTGCAAGTTAAGAGGTGTCTAAGTAAAAGAGGTGCCAAAGTGAATTATTACGCTATTCTTGTTATTTCATCCTTTAGGTACTTAGGTTCCAGTATAGTTAGAACCAAAAGCCAAACACATTTCATAGTCTGGGCTCAATGCCTGGAAGAAAAGAGCCCATATGCTTAACACAGCTATGTAACATAGCCTACTCTTCATTCTTTGTTCACAAAATGTCTAGGACTGAAAGAGATGAAGACTGAATTATACTTTCAAATCAGAAGACACTGATCCTAAGCAGCACAGGTTGAGATGGAATAGAAAAGTAAGGCGGGCAAGTCTGGAATGAGCTCAATGAATGCTACACTGTGTTTCATATCTGTAACGGCAAGGAGAGGAAAAAAAGGAAGGAATACTCTATTATACTGGGTATTAAACAATCACTTTCTTTGCATAAATGACAGTTCAAGAAAATAATACGTTATCCAAGAAGGTACTTCCTGGACCTAGTCCAATATTTAAGTTCAAGTATTCATCAGGGCAAATGTGTGAAACCTGCAAGTACTGACTATAACAACGAAAAGTTCTTAGCATAAATTAATTTAGATACTTGGAATACCTTTTAGATTAGTCTTGTGAAAATTCATCTTTTTAACTACAGAGGGGCAATTCTCCTTGGAACAGGACAATTCTCCTTCTGACTTCTTTTTCAATTTTTTTAATGATGAGGAACATTTAGCAAGGTTCAGGTCTCTGAAAGGAAAAGTGAGAAATAAGGAAAGCTTGTTTTTCAGCAAGGCGTGCCAGCATACATTAGATGGTATTTTTTAAAAGTCTAGCCTCCTTTTAATTTAAACCCCCTTGCTCATTCAATCTTTACTGCTTTCTAATTTTAAAATTTATTTCAACTGTGTAGAAACAAATTTCAGTGCACTAATTTTCTTTTATTAGTCTTACTCCCCCAACTGCTCACTAAATTTATAAATACAAAATGTCAAATAAAGAGCAAAAGACCAGTTAAACCATATATTGACAGAGAGAATAAAGCAGAAAGCTAAGATCAAGCAGGTCTCTGCTCCCCATTCTCAGTTTCATATTCTGATTCTATTCTCTTCTTCCTCTCACAGAACTTTACTGAGTTTTATATGACGTACACTTTTATACACCCTATACTTTTAGAGGTGGTTTCTCATTTTGGGAAAACTACTATTACGATATAGGATATCTCATATGACCATGCATTCTGAAATTCCATCTATATTATGGCAAAGTAGTAATTCAAATCATAGAACAAAAATTGTGTAAAACTGTATTTCATCAACAATGCATCAATAATTTGATGACCAGTTTTATTTCTTTTGGGAAGCAGAAAGAAAGCATGTACCTTGAATTACAGAAACAGAAAATGTTGATCAAATACATCTAAAATTGAGTTTTGATCTAATCAATATAATTCAGACAGTATCACAGATAACCATAAAGTTCAAGAAATGCATCAGAAAAAGAGCTGTACTCCAAAATAAAGCACAGCTGGGATATCAGCATCACTTACGGTAACTCCGGCAGCCCTTCGACTTGTTTTTGTTTAGTACCATTCAACATTAGTAAGGCTCTCTGAGAGTCAAAACAAGGCCGCTGTCCTATTTTCTTTGATATCTGAATCTTTCCCGACCCAAGCACACCAGTTTTCCCCAAGGCTGGTAAATAGGAATATACCTGTTGAAAAATAATACCGCATTATTTTCTCAACTACAAAAACAGCAGTAAAGAGAAATTATTTGATTCATTTCATTATTACATTTGGTTATATTTTCCTGGTTGCATCACTATGGTTGCCACTCTATCTTGGTTGAACATAATAAAATATTAAGAAAGCTAGCTTTGTGTCATAGTCAATACCATGTGAACAAACAGAAAAATACTTTCTTAAAAATAATTTTTTCTAATTCAATTTTGATCCTCATTTAAGAAAGCTCTTTTGATTAGTCTTATGCCCAATGTGTATGATTCATTTGCATATTTTATATGTATGATTTACATACAACTGGTATTTCTTAATTTCCATTTTGATAATGCCTTTTTTTTTTTTTAGCAGAAAACAAGTCTTTCTTCAATAGAAAACAAAATAAGGAATAAAAACATCCTTAAAGGCAAGGATTGCTGCAAAACAGAATTTGCCTAATCTGACCAATATACGTATTTCTCATTTAATTAAAAAATTGCTAGAGCTACTGGATATTAATATCTAAAGATAGCCAAAATAAAACTGGAAAACTTTAAATCAATTGTAGCTTATATGCATAATATTTTGGTTTTTAAATACCATTTAGAATTTTGTTGGATCTCGTTTTTTCCAAAATAATAACCTCACATATGAATTTTATTAGAGAACAAGGATTTTTTTACTTTTCTATGATTAACCCTTGGCTATGCTCAAAAGAAATTAAAATCTCTTTTTCTTTTTTGTTGTTGTTGTTGTTGTTGAGACAGGGTCTTAGTATGTCACCTAGGCTAGAATACAGTGGTTATTACAGGTCACTGCTGCCTCAACCTCCTGGGATTAAGGATCCTCCCACCTCAGCCTCCCAAGTAGCTGGGACCACAGGCATGTGCCACCATGCCCAGCCAATTTAACTTTTTTTAGAGACAGAGTCATGCTATGTTGTCCAGGCTGGTTTTGAACTCCTGGGCTCAAGGGATCCTCCTGCCTCAGCTTCCAAAAGTGTTAGAATTATAGGAAGGGGCCATCATGCTCCACCTTAAAATTTCTATTTGGTGATTATCTTCCCCAAACTGCCCCTGGAGAAGGGGTCTCACAATGTGGTCCAGGATGGAATGCAGTGGCTATGCACAGGTGCAATCATAATGCACTATAGCTTCGAATTCTGGGGCACAAGCAATCCTCCCGCCTCAGTCTCCTGAGCAGCTGGAACTACAGGCACTCAGCACTGCCGCTGGCTTTCACTACTCTATTTTGAGATAGAAATATACTAGCTTTTATGCAGAATTGAAAGATTTATGAATTAATATATTCTGCCTACTTACTTGAAATAACCAAGAATATTTTAAAATTCAGTTTGTGGGCCAGGCGCAGTGGCTCACGCCTGTATTCCCAGCACTTTGGGAGGCCGAGGCGGGCAGATCACAAGGTCAGGAGATCGAGACCACCCTGGCTAACGTGGTGAAACGCTGTCTCTACTAAAAATATAAAAAAATTAGCTGGGTGTGGTGGCCGGTGCCTGTAGTCCCAGCTACCAGGGAGGCTGAGGCAGGAGAATGGCATGAACCCAGGAGGCGGAGCTTACAGTGAGCCGAGATCGCACCACTGCATTCCAGCCTGGACAACAGAGCAAGACTCCGTTTCAAAATAAATAAATAAATAAATAAATAAATAAATAAATAAATAAATAAAATTGAGTTTGTGAACTCACTTCAGAATAGAGAGGTGCTTACCATTTTCTGAAGAGAGAGTGGCTCAGAAGAAACACTACCAGAGCTCTGTAGACACAACTTTTTAAAGACTGCCTCTGCAACAAACATTTGAAGCCAGGAGGAGGAAAAGGAGCAAATGAAAATCTCTAATTCCTGTGAAGAAAAGTCTGGAGAACATAAGGTAAGTCGATATAGTTACTGCTGTATCCTATATACTTTTTTCCATAGGCTATTTCCTTAGTGAAGTTTATTCCATCAAATGAGAGTTCTTATACCTGTAAGATCCATACACATGATTTTAACCCATAAAAAATAGGCAATATCCCTATTCCTTGACTTTTAAGAGAAAATATTTAATGGTACATGATCTCACATTTGAAAAAACAATCATTAGGTTTGATTATTTCAGATACAAGTCTTGAAATTACATATATACAGATTAGGTAACATATGAATATATACAAGGGATTTTATTTATCACTATACTTTCCAACTACCATTAAAGATCTCTTCCCACAATAGGGATGCTCCTTTGGAAAACCAGTAATTAGTTTTTAAATGAAATACTAGTATTTAATTTGCAATGATCAGTACCGAATTGATAGGAAGAAAGTAGACTGCTTCCTATGACAACACCCATGAATCTTATCACTGCAGAAAAGGACGAAAGGCACAAGGTGAAGAAGAAAAACATGAAACAAGAGCATCTATAAAGAAGAAAAACATGAAACAAGAGCATGTATAAAGACTTCCTCAGAAGTGTGCACCCACTCTACTATGGGGGATGGTGGATAAATTTTTTCTTTTTTTTTTAAAGACAGAGTCTTGCTCTGTCGCCAGGCTGGAGTGCAGTGGTGCGATCTCAGCTCACTGTAACCTCCGCCTCCCAGGTTCAAGCAATTCTCCTGCCTCAGCCTCCTAAGTAGCTGGGACTATAGGTGCACGCAAGATGGTGGATAATTTTAAATGATGAAACAAAAAACAAGAAAACATCAAAAGCCTCAAATCTCTTATACAAAACCTCAAGTATTTCAATAAGATGAAAACGCGTAAATATACCCATGAATTGAAAGTGATAAAAGAGTGACAATTTCCCATGTGATCTATTTAATATTATAAACTGTCTATTAATATTATCTATGTAACGTGATGAAAATACAACAAAATGATAATAAAAGAATAAATAAGACCAACCAAGAGGATATCAAAAGAGCTAAAATTACAAACAATATAAAAAAGTTGTGATATTATACAATAAGGCAGATTAACTATAAATACTGGAAGAATAAAGAATAAGTCAATACAATTAGCAAAATAAACATAATAAACAGAAGAGAAGAATTAAAATTGTAAGCATTAAGTTAAAATATAGTTTCAAAATCAGACAATGATAAACTTAATAGGAGTATAAGGCATAAAAGCTGGCCTCCCTATTCGGGATGGAATTCTTTCAGGGCGAAGAGAATGCAGACACCCAGTCAATGTCCTGCTCAGATGCCTTCATAAAAGGCTGGGGATCTAGTGTCTTGTAGTCCTTGACCCTTGACTCTCATTTTCAAGAGTGGATGGGAGAAGTAAGGGAGGATCTGCTCTCAGGTAACATTTGTTAATTTCTGGTTGCCACATTGGGGAAGGGGATGCTATTGGCATCTAGTGGGCAAAGGCCCAGGATGCTACAATACACAGGACAGCCTACAATACACAGGACAGCCCCAACAACAAATAAATATCCAGCCCAAAACATAATCAGTACGCAGGCTGAGAAACTTGCCCTGACTAAAGAGATCTGATGCCCTTGCCTTGTGGCAGCTTGTTATAAGGAGTGTTTAAACCTTTGGCTTCAGGTCTGATGTTAACCAGATACAACTAACCCCAAACAGATAATATTATCATTGAATTTAGATAATCCCTTCCAATATGGCCTCTACAAAGACACAATTTTTTTTTTTTTTGAAACAGAGTCTTGCTGTATCGTCCAGGCTGGAGTGCAGTGGCGCGATCTTGGCTCACTGCAACCTCCGCCTCCCGGGTTCACACCATTCTCCTGCCTGAGTCTCCCAAGTAGCTAGGACTACAGGCACCCGCCAGCACATCCGGCTAATTTTTGGTATTTTTAGTAGAGACAGGTTTCATCGTGTTAACCAGGATGGTCTCAATCTCCTGACCTTGTGATCCGTCCACCTTGGTCTCCCAAAGTGCTAGGATTATAGGTGTAAGCCACTGTGCCCGGCCAAGATACAATTTTTTTTGAGTTGGAAAGGAGAAAAGAATTACTTACAACCAGTTTTCTTGCTACTACTGAGGCTCTGTTAATATTATCTAAAAATGTACAAGCAATAAACTGAAGGATAAGAATCAAAAGATAATATGAACATTTAATCTCTAATTATATACATTAAAAAGCCTACTTTCTTTTTTAGTGTACTGCAACCAATTGATCTCTTAACATAAGAACTCTAGACAGAGGCAAAAGCAAAGTAGAAATAACTTGCAGAGTTCAAAAGAGCTGGTCTCACATTGAAATTTACAAATGGGGTTATTTATCTAATAAGGATCATATCTGATAGGCTTATAGATATAAGGAATACAAAGTACTAATATGACAGATCCATATATTACCAGGTTACAAAGTCAAGGGAAATAAAAAAAAAAACAGATGAACAGGAGAACACAAGAAAATTAGCCCGTGGACTGTAAGAACTTTAAGAGAAGGGTCATACTTGTAGCCCTTACAGTATATAGGTCATTAATCTGTACAGAGTAAACATTTAGTATTTGACAGATGAATGAATGAATGGTTAGCAGATACCAATAACTCCTAATAGAGAGCCAAGCCAGGACCATCTTTTTAAATCAAGTTAATGAGATCATGCTACTCCCTTGTTTCAATAGCTTCTAACTCCTTAACAAGGCTTACAAATCCCTACACAAACTCCCTTAACCCTTCTTTGGCCTTATTCTGGCCTCTCTTCCCATCAGCCAGGCACCAGAAGGTCTCAAACAGGCCTTCTTTCCTATTCAGAGTTTTGGTAAATGTTACCTTCTGACTAAAAACACTCTGTACTGTCAAACTTCTACTTATTCTTCACGTTCTGCATTCCACGGTCATATAGTATAAAAGTAAGTTCACCAATCTCAACACCTAGTTTTTCCTGTTCAGAGCACTAATTTTAAACGACATATTTATATTAACTTTACAGTTTATCTCTCTTAAAGTTAAAAAAGAAAAAAAACCCACAAGGACCATGTTTTGTTGCCCTCTTCCACTGTATAGAAAAGCGTTTAGCTCAATGCCTGGTAGAATGCCAATAAAATTTTGCTGAATAAACGAAGAGAACAGAAACATTTTGGCTGAGAATTAGTAATGACACATAAACATTTATATTTTGAGGTCTGAAGCATGGAAAGAAATTAAGAGATAAAGCAAAAGTGAATAAAGGTTTGGAAAAAGTATTTATCAGGAAATAATGATGTTATCTGAGAAACGGAAGTTTTATTAAAGTTCTACAAAGATATGAAAAAAAAAACTATAGTAAATTTTGATGACATCTTCTTTCCCACTGAAACAATTGGAGGAGAAATATGTTTAAGTCAGGATGGGCAAACTGTGGTGTGCTGCCTGTTTTTACGAATAAAGTTTTACTGGAACACAGTCATGCTGTCTATGTATTGTGTATGGTTGCTTTCTTACTAAAAACTGCAAAGTTGAGTGGCCTGAAGAGACTGTAAGGCCTAAAAAGCCAGTAATATTTACCGTCTGGTACTTAACATTGAACAGTTTGTTAATCCGTAGTTTAAGCCACTACATAAGGAATTTCAAGTAGGCATAAAAAAGAAATTTCAGATAACTTGACCTTAAAATACAGAAAAGAAAACTTCTGTCCAAAGTGTTCAGAAATAACAAAGAGTAGCATCTATATGGAACTGATGAATATGAGATCTGATGGAAAAAATTTTATTTATCTTCTAAAATATCTGTTGCCTTAATTCTTGACAAAACAATTATAAACTAAAAATTACACTAAACTGAAATGAATTTGATAGATGTGAATCTGAGTAGTGTCACAGTATGAATTTTGTACTTCTGAACTAGTAAAAATCAGAACATCCAGTTTACCATAATTGAGAAAGATGGATCGATATTTTCAACTGGAAGTTACATAACAGTGAAATTATAACATCTTTACTAATGACTTGGGAAAAGCAAAAGATAGTAACTGAGTAGAAGAATAATGCAAAATAAATGATTTTTTTTTTTAAAAAAAGAAAGGAATATCAGCAGAGAAAAGAAATGAGGAAAAAAAAGAGGTGGCAGACAATGAATTTTAAAGTTCTTCATCAAAATATGAACAAAACAAACATTATTACAACACTCCAGAATTTTGATTGTGTGTGTGACTAACATGAGCTTAAACTCAACCTTAGTGTTACTAATTCTGTCAACGGATTATTTTGCTCCCAAATATCTATTAATACATTTGATCACTAACATTCAAAACTTTAGATGAGATTTAAATTGTCACTAATGAAAAGTATTTTTTAAGCCTTTTTCTTTACCTTTCTCCAAGTGTACACATTTGCACACACACACGTGTGTACACACACACACAGTTGGTTGGTTAGGCTTCAAATTTGGTTATAGCTAGGCAATTTAAAAGTTTTAAACATTATTTTTTGTTGTTGTTGAGAAGAGTCTTACTCTGTCCCTCAGGGTGGAGGCTACTGGTTTATGATAAAATGTTCACTTGATTTCTGTCTCTTGACAAAGGTTAAACATCAACCTGCACTAACAGAAAAGAAAAAAACTAGACAGAAAATAGAAAAATACTAATTTGAATGATTTTTAGAAATACATGTTTAAAACTTTTGGCTGGGCGCAGTGGTTCATACCTGTAATCCCAGCACCTGGGAAGTCGAGGTGGGCAGATCACCTGAGGTCTGCAGTTTGAGACCAGCCTGGCAAACATGGTGAAACCCCCATCTCTACTAAAAATACAAAAAGTTAGTCAGGCGTGGTGGTACACACCTGTAATCTCAGCTACTTGGGAGGCTGAGGCACAAGAATCACTTGAACCAGGGAGGCAGAGACTGCAGTGAGCCAAGATCATGCCACTGCATTCCAGCTTGGGGGAGAGAGTAAGACTATGTCTCAAAAAAAAAGAAAAAAGAAATAATGTTTAAAACTTTGAATTTGCTTACCTATAACCGAATTTGAAGCCTAAGCAACCAACTGCGTGTGTGCACATGTGCACGCGCACACGTGTACATTTTGAGAAAGGTAAAGAAAAAGGCTTAAAAATACTTTTCAATAGTGACAATTTAAATCTCATCTAAAGTTTTGAATGTTAGTGATAAAATATATTAATAGATCTTCGGGAGCAAAATAATCTGTTGACAGGATCATAATAGTAACACTAAGGTTCAGTTTAAGTTCATGTTACTCACAGAATCAAAGTTCTGGGTTTTACACTTGTCACGTAAAAACTGAAAATAACATTGGATAACAATGTCCTGCTTTAAAGTGAAGGGAAACTCAGAATATTAGTGAAGAAAGCACTGAAGCAAATGTATAACAGGTAATAGAATCCTTTTAATACAAGGCTTACTATATTTCATGCATTTGGCTAAACTATAAGATAAATTATAATTCCTTAAGGGCAATTACTATGTATTGGAAACAAGACATATAACTATACTGATAATCTCTAAAGCCACTGCTAATCCTCTACTAGGTCTCCAAACTCAAATTTCATTAAGGAACGAAAACAGGAAATTCCGTTAGTCAAATGCTTAGTTCCCATTCTAGAAAATAATGCCAGAATTCTGTTTTTTGAAAAGGATAAAAACCACTAAACTACCTAGTAGGAATGGTGGGAAAGAAATGTAAGAGAGGCTTCTGCAGGAAGATTGAATGTTAGCTAAGAAATGTTAAAGTCATGCAACGAAGGACAGCTAGTCCACAAAGGGAACTGTAATCACCCCCTCAGCTCAATGAAAAAGAAAGAAAAAAGATTTATCTAAAATGCTTCAGATAAAAATCTTCTTTGGTAGTATAAAAAGAGAACTCTCTCTGCAGAGGCATCATCGAATAAATCCTGAACCCAGTTATAACCTGGATTCCTATTCTGAAGTCTCTCTTCAAAGTATTAAAGTGATTGACAGCATACTGAAGAATGTTTTCTTTATATAAAATCAAGATACACTGAAACACATGTGTAGTAGAGTACTTATTTGGCAGTTTAAAATATCAAGTATATAAAAGTATATAAAAGTCATCTTTTATAGCTAAGAATCACAAAAAACTTACTTGGTTTAAAATGTATTCATTTCAGGAATTAAGGATTACAGAAATAAAGAAATAAAGAAAAAAAAAGGGAAGGATAGACAAAGACTCTTCCTAAACTGCCTATGGAGTTTGGGAATCTACATAAGGTCTTTACGGAAGCCTCCTTCAGTCTAGAGGCCCAAACAATTGGGTAGAACTTTTCAACTTGTGAAATGAGTTCTGCCATCATTTTCTTAAATAACACTCCCTTCCCCCTTTATTTTAGGGGAGACATTAAAGTAGGTAATGGGGAAAAGGAAGAGTGAAAAAAATTATCCATATAAATTACTTCTGTTTGCTTCACCCATGTTCATTTCTTGTTAGAGCACCAGACTCAATGGGGAAAAATAGTAGCAAGTTTTTGTTTGTTTTTTTAAAGAGACAGGGTCTTGCTCTGTCATCCAGGCTAGAGTGCAGTGGCACAATCATGGCTCCCTGCAGCCTTGGACTCCTAGGCTCAAGGGATCCTCCCACTTCAGCCTCCAGAGTAGCTGTGACTATTGGCATATGCCACCATGCCCAGCAATTAAAAAAAATTATTTTAAAAGACAGAGTCTTGGCCGGGCGCGGTGGCTCAAGCCTGTAATCCCAGCACTTTGGGAGGCCGAGACGGGCGGATCACGAGGTCAGGAGATCGAGACCATCCTGGATAACACGGTGAAACCCCGTCTCTACTAAAAAAATACAAAAAAACTAGGCGGGCAAGGTGGCAGGCGCCTGTAGTCCCAGCTACTCGGGATGCTGAGGCAGGAGAATGGCGTGAACCCGGGAGGCCGAGCTTGCAGTGAGCCGAGATCCCGCCACTGCACTCCAACCTGGGCGACAGAGCAAGACCCCGTCTCAAAAAAAAAAAAAAAAAAAAAACCACGGACAGAGTCTTGCTATGTTCCACTCCACAGGCTGGTCTCAAACTCCTGGGCTCAAGAGATCCTCCCACCTCGGCTTTCCAAAGTAGGCTGGGATTATAGGCGTGAGCCACTGCACCAAGCAAAATAATTATATTTGAATAATAAATATATGTGGGGGGAAGTCTCCTGTAATGTTTAGAGGAAAATAAGAATGCAAAATTACATATACAGTATGAATTCAACTATACAAAAATGCTTAGAAATACCAGAAAGACATTAAAAAGTTAACAACAGTTACCTGTGTAGGAACAATAAGGGTACTTTAAGTCTTTCTCTTTATATTGTCTGTTTGTATCTATCTGTGCATGTATCCGTAACAATTTCAAGGAAAGCTTCAAATAAGCATATGTTAAAGCTTACAGACTGCTTAAAAGAAAATCAAAACTGATTTCCAGAATGGTTCTGAAAAAAACAGAACATAGATAAACTTACCATCACACGAAAGAGAAATATAACTTCCTAAGTCATCAGACATGTGTCGCATCACATTTCTACCCATCTTAAGACCAAGGAAAATCCAATAATCTATTGCTGCTCCAAGAATTCCAGTCAATAAGTAAGCTAGTTCATGTTTGAAGACCTGACATTAAGATACAAAAAAATTACCAATATATATTACAATATTGAATTTCTATTAGTGTTTATTTTGAATATGTTTTGAGGGGTAAAACATAGTTATTTAAAAATACAGGGTATGTAATGATAAAAGGTATTCTTAAGAACTCTAACTAATTCTCTCCCCTCCATCTTTCTCTCCACATGACAAGAGTTAATAAAGCAAATTTTCCAAAGACCTACAACTTAACAGTTCAGAATAAACTTTAATTTCATCCAACCTATCAAGTTTGTCAGGCAATAATTCCATTAAAATAATGAGAAAATACCTGGTTTTTGTAGATTTTTATAAATAGGAGAGATATGACTATAAAAGAAGATAGACTTATCTACCCCCACTGTTTATATATAGAATTATTCTTTACATTTCTCTATATGACATTTTCCAGAAAGACCTGAGAAACCCGATGAATAAAAGCTCTAGTAAACAAGATTATTCATTTGCTATAATATACTGATTCAAATTTTTATTTAATTATATATCAAATACTAATTACCCAACTTAGAGATGTAGAAATCAGTTTTAAAAGTATATCATTGGCTGGGTGCGGTGGCTCACGCCTGTAATCCCAGCACTTTAGGAGGCCAAGGTGGGCAGATCATGAGGTCAGGAGATCGAGACCATCCTGGCTAACACGGTGAAACCCCGTCTCTACTAAAAATACAAAAAGTTAACCGGGCGTGGCGGCGGGCGCCTGTAGTCCCAGTTACTCAGGAGGCTGAGGCAGGAGAATGGTGTGAACCCTGGAGGCGGAGCTTGCAGTGAGAGGAGATTGCGCCATTGCACTCCAGCCTGGGCGACAGAGTGACACTCCGTTTCAAAAAAAAAAAAAAGTATATCATTTTATATGATTACTTTCATAATAAATATCATTAAATTCTTATAAGAAATGTAACAAGGCATACAAGCCTTCTAAGTGTGCTTTACCCTAGTGTTTGAAAGTATTTTTCTAATCTCTAAAATTCAGTAGAAACTATGAAGATGAAGAAGTGTGAAAATAAAATTTTAAAAACACCACTGATTGAAATACAAACGCTTTTTCAAAGCATTAAAACCAGCTGAAATTCTTATGTTCTTGTTATTTGTTGTCTAGGCATGTTGGATATGTAGAAAAAAATCACTAATAGTTGGGTAAAAGGCATATGACGTTTTAATAAATGCTACAGTAACAGATTATAACTATGTTCTCCCATCTAATTTCTTTCTCATTAATCCCATATTAGGCATATATTATGCTTAAGTAACATAAGTATAATATATAACATAACTTACTGTTCATGTGTAATAGTTAAGATTACAGTATAAAAGGATCTAAGAACCTGATCTATAACGAATAGATCTAACATTACTAATAAGCTAATCTATTATCACAATATTTATTAAAACCTTTTCACATGCCTTTTACACAACTGCTTAGTGATTTTTTCGCATATCCAACAAGCCTAGATGACAAATAACAGGAACATAAGAATTTCAGCTGGTTTAATGTTTTGAAAAAGTGTTTATATTTAAATCAAAGGTGTTTTTAAAATATTATTTTCACACTTTGTCTTCACAGTTTACATGGAATTTTATAGATTAGAATAGTAAGTTTTCATATAAAAGGCACTTCCAAATAAGGTTCTTGGATCCTTCTATACTATAATCTAAACTAACACACTCATAAATAGTACATTATGTTATTATGTTATATATTACAGAATCATGTGTATTTCAGTGTATTAGTTATATATTACACACCAAACTAGCATATATTATGCCTAATATGGGATTAGTGAGAAAGAAATCCCCAGCACTCTGAACCCTCAGTGACTACTGGATTTGTTTCTCCTGCCCTCAGCAAACAAATTTCTTATATGTATATTCAATATTTCATTGGGATATCATTCCATATCTACTAGCTCTAGCTAGCAGATAAATGATTTCAAAACCAAAGTTCAATTTTTGGTTTATTGTGCAAACATAAGCAAATGGTCCAGCAGCACACACAACCAGCTTGCCAGAACAGTCTTTATGGAAGGAAAACACATAGTCAGGACCAGTAGCATGTGTGCAGATCCTCTGTTGTCCTGTCACATCAGGGGCAGCATACTGCATTCGTGTAGGGCTAGACATTAGAATCTAGGAGAGAGACCCTCAAGTGTGGAGCTGAGGAGATTTTAAAAAGCTGCATGATTAAGAAAGCGGTGCTCTTCTTCTGACATGATCAGGGGCCAAGACAGCCAGCCAGATTCTAGCAGGTGAGGCTTCACAGGTGGCTGTCAATCCCACCCAGTCTCCTGCCTTGATAAGAGAGCTGAGTATAAGCCTTGCAGTTGTGGCTATATGGCATGGGAAACTAGCAGCAGCTCTGGTCACATAAGTAGCACCAACACCTCCCCTGGTGTGATTGGCAGGACTAGGGTCTACTGCTAGTCTCCAGAAAACACTGCAGAAAATCAACTCCATTCTTTGTAAAGCCAGTATCTTGCTTGATCACTCTGAGCAAGTTAGTTAATCCTTACTTCTCACTGTTATCAAGAGAATATAAAACAGAACAGTGAAAATATATAAACTACTAAATTGATTATGTCCATATGCACATATGCATCCACAAAATGTTCCTTCCAATATAACATGTATCTGAATATCAGCAATGACAGTACTCAGGAAAGAAGCAAGAGGTTGGTAAATTTTGATTTCTGAAAGTATTCTCCATCTCAAGGGTACAGTAAATCAAGATCACTTTAGACCACCCAGGCTCTAAGACCCTGGGCAGGAAAGAAGAATGTTAGCCCACAGAGTGAAGCCTTATATAAAAACACAATCCAGCTTTCTATCAATCAAAAACAACACTAAACAACAACAACAAAAAAAATCAACCAGTTGGGACTTTCCCTCTTTCCTTATATAAGTATGTCGTACATACAGTTAAAATCACAATAGAATATTAATATATTGCTTAATATTAAACTTACCTTGATATTAATGTTATTAGAGAGAGGGAAGAGGTCTTGCAGTGATTTCGAGGAATAACTATAGCTTTTTTTACTATGATAAAAAAGATCCTGCCAAAGTTATTCTTGTTTTCATGTCATTAGCTAAACATGCACACTACTACACAGCCATAATAGCAAGTTTTTATATGAAAAGACACTTTCAAGTCAAGTTCTTACATCCTTTCATACCATAATCTTAACTATCACACTCATAACAATAATAGGGCCAAGACAGTGTGCTATGGATTATACTCACTGCCGCTTTAACAATACATCAACAATGCTATTCCTTCCAGTATAGTGGACATATAAGCTTTAGAAATAGATTACTAAGAAAACAGTAAATAAATCATCAAAGGAAAGCAGTTTTCTTGGAATACTGAAATATTTGTTAAAGCTGACAGACGAGAACATGAATACCCTAAGAATTAACAAAGAAATAAAAGGTAGACAAGATTTTGCATATATGATATATATCTACCTTAGAATTCCTTTCTAATATGTTAAACTCTATAACCAGACATTCTGTCAATACGGTTCTGTATCATCTGCCAGTAGAGGTAACTTCTAGTTTATAAAATTGACAATCTTCCAAAACTTGACTAATCTGTAACGTAGAACAAACTAGCATCTTGGCCTTCTGACTCCCAGATTAGGGATTTCCATGATATCCCACTGTAATACGTGACAAACTACTCTTCTGGAAAGATGGAAACATAAAGCACACACTGTGCCTCTTCCTGTTTTAAACACTGGCATTTGAAACATGAGAAAGTGTGGTGCGGTAGAGACTTGGCCTCTAGTCAAGGCTTTGCTCTAACAAGCTGTGACACCTTGAATAAGTTATTCAAACTCTTTATCAACTTTCTTATCTATTAATGTAAACTAGCTTACATTTCTACCTATATTGTAGAATTATCAATAGCACTTAAGAACATCTCAAAGAAAAGTGGGACTAGTAAAAATTGTACCTCCTCCATAACCTTGACACAGCCCACCTCTGCTCTTTGCCAAGGAAAGCCCAACGCTTTCTCAGATTAATGACAATGAAATTCACTGCCATTGTGTCACTCTGCAATACTTGCTGATTGACATTATGACAAAACAATATTAGCATAAACTGAGGACTTCTGTTTAGCTAATGACTTAAATTGAATACTTCAACTCAGCAAATCAAGAAACAAATGCTTTACAGTACAGAAAATGATGTCTGTGAACATGCATGGAATTCTTGAAACTGCAAACTGCCAAAAAGATTTAATTAAGTATAAGAATGAATTCTAGCAGAAAGGTAATACAATTTTTAAAAAGCAGTTTTATATCAATTTAAGCTATTCAAATGTTAAATATTAATTTGCAAAATTTAAAACCAGTTCTCATATTACAATGCTACAATTTATTGCAGACTGCTTCACAAATATGTTGCTTTTATTTATAAGTTTGAACAAAAATCTTGAAGTTAAATATGTATAAATCTGTTACTGTTTACATCAGAGCTTAAGTAATTTTTTATCTGTGATAGTCCTTTGAAGACTTAGTAAAATTGTGAAAACATCAGTTTTTTTATTGTTCTCAATTATAAATGAGCAATTTCATTTATGTAATCAAACGAATGAAAAAAAAAGAAATGTTCTATAATGAAGACATTTTCTATCCTTAATGATTGCATTGTATAAAAAGTAAATAAAAAGACAGATGGTAATTTATAAAGACGCTATCAGCTTTAGCTTAAAAGTGCTATACTCAATTGGCAATGAGGTGTAAACAGTAGTCCTATTTCAGCTGAGTATTTTCAATGTCTGTAATTTGCAAAATCATACTTCCTTTTAAATCAGATACATGCACGAGACAGTGCCTACTCACCTGTTTATTGTTAAATAGGATTACTTGATCAAAAGAAATCTAGCTACACTCATGAGCAATCTTCCCATTTTAATGCTGATTTAGAAAAAAAAAATTAGTACCTCAAAAAGAACTTCTATTTTCCTGTCTCAGACAACTGAAAAGAATTTTTAAAAAAATCAGCAAGAACCTCTATTTCTAATGAAGGCCTAGGTAATTCAGATGAACCTTTTTTTTTAGAGACAAGGTCTCACTCTGTTACCCAGGCTGGAATGCAGTGGCGCAATCATAGCTCACTGCAGCCTCCAACTCCTGGGCTCAAGAAATCCTCCCACGGCAGCCTCTCAAGTAGTTAAAACTAACACATGTGCACACCACCACACCTGTGTTTTTTTTGTTTTTGTTTTTGGTAGAGATGGGGGTCTCACTATGTTGCTCAGACTGGTCTTGAGCTCCTGGCCTCAAGCAATCCTTCCACTTCAGTTTATCAAAGTGCTGGGATTATAGGCGGGAACCACTGCACCTGGCCTCAGTTGAACCCACTTAGAGAAGAACACTAAAACTAAAAATGTTAAATGAAATATGCAAAACATTTCAGAAAAAAAAGACAATAAATTATGAGGAATTGCTACACCAAGATCTAGTGAGGTACCCATGTGAGCCACTCAAAGATACCTGACTTTGCCCTGAGGACTTTCACTGATTTTAAGGAAGAATCTAGAATAAGAACTGTGGTTTCTGGAGCACAGGGGAAAAAAAGATTTAAAAAAAAAAGAAAAGTCATGGCCAAAACCTCATCGGTCATAGGATGAAAAAGTGAAGGGCTTCATCCTCATGGTAAGAAAGAATCAGAAGCAAAACTAAATGTATATGGAGCACTTTACTTCATTTGAACCATCTAGAGTCCCCCAAACACAGACATTGGATTAGAATAGTCCTTAACTAGTGGTGCACCGAGGCACTTGGCAGAAGTTCAACAGAAATTCTTTCTGAGGGAAGATATTCTGTTGTTTATCACATATTGTTTCTATAAATAACTTTTCAAATGCAATTTAAAAGCATATAGTGAATAACAAGCTTGCAAGAGAAAATAAAAAAGCACAAGAGAAGGGAACAGCAAAAAACAACAACAGAAATAGACCTATAAAGACTTCAGATATGGAATAATCAAGCATAGATAATAAATGTCATTGCCATGTTAAAGACAAAAGAAAACCTTGAAACCCATAAAAACAAGTCATAGCGGTTTGGAACAGTTAAAAAGTCTATTACCTGGAAAAAATACACAAAATTTAAATGAAATGGTCATGTTTAATAATATATTGGACACAGCTAAAGAAAGAACTAATGAACTAAAAACTGGATGAAAATACTATCCAGAATGCGGCAAGTATAGAAAAAAATGTATCTATATGGGAGTAGGGGAGGGAGGGAGAGAGAGAAGGAGAGGGGAAATGGTAGAGGGAGAGAGAGAGGGAGAGGGAGAGAGAAAGAAAGGGAGAGGGAGATATAAGGTGAAAAACAGAGAATATGAAGAAAAGGTATAATGTAAGTTTAATGGTAATTTAAAAAGTAGAGAAGAGAAAATGGATCTGAAGAAGTATTTGACTAGAAACTACATAAGCAGTTTCATTAAGACAGAATAGACTTCATGGTAGTTTGATAACTGAGCTCTCCACCCTAACTACTATGCTTACGATCCCTGAAAAAGATATTACCTAACTAGCAGTTATAGGATCATAACCAGTAGTCATGATATATCAGTTATGAATAATAAGGTGACATTAGCATATATAAAGTAGAAACTTAAATAGATCAGCAAATCAACAAAGTCGACTCAGAAGGATTGATTAAAACAATTATTAAGTTTGATCCAACCCAACAGAAAAAATACATTCTGGTTCCTAGTCTTATATGGAGCCAAAAAGAGAACTTCAGTAAATTTCAGAAAGCAGAAATTGCATAAGGTGCATTCTTTAACTATAATTCACTATTAGAAACTAACCAAAAAAAAGCACAGCCAAACAAACAAAACCCATCTATTTAGAAATCTTAAAACACCTTTTAAAAATATCTCTTGGATCAAAGAGGGAAATCAAAATTAACAATAGAAAATACTTTGAAAAAAACAGAGCACTCTAGGGTAAAGTATCAAACTATGAAATGAATGTCAAGTTGTACTCAATAGGTAATTTATATTAAGTGTATGTACTAGAAATGAAGACTAAAAATAAAAAAAGATTCAAGAAGATAGAAGAGAAAGTAAAAAAAAAAAAAAATTAAAAGAGCAGAAATGAATAACACAAAAAAGAAGACAATATATTTCCAAAGGGAGATCATTCTGAAAAGGAAAAAGGTGACTAATATTTATTAAGCAACCAAAATGTGCCACAGTTATGTTGCTATACACTGTTATCCATGAGATGGATAATACACTAAAATCACTATATGTTAAATTTCTAATGACAGGCAAAATCGACTTATAAAGAAATATTTCAGAAAATAACATCAAAAAAGGTAGTTTTAAAATAATACTAATAATACTAATGCATATTAGTATTTATTAGTACCCCCCAAAAATTGTATGGATTGACTCATTTATTTTTAAATCTTAAGTTCTTCATGAATCAAATTGTACAAAAGTAAAAAATCTAGAAAGGTTAGTAACTAGAGATTTCTTAGCAGTAACTATCAAATAACTCACTAGCTACTACATGCAAACATGAGATGATGAAGGAACCAGTCTCCAAGGGCCTTTTACCTTAAAACTAGATAAGTTAAATAGAAAACAATGATATATTTGGGTACATTTTAATTGTTTTCAAGTGATCCAAAGAAAAAAGGGGAGAGGAAAAGGTAAATAATTCAAAGTGCTTTTTCCATAGACTATTCATCTATAAATTAATCCTACTTACATCATTAGACTTGCATTTTTCCTTGTGAGAATATATAGTCCATTCCAAAAGCATATTTACTGGTTTGGTCAAAAGCCCAGAGGTTTCACTTCCTGACCAAAAAATTTCAAGAAGCATTGCCTTTCCTGTTATTTTCAGATTCTGAGAATCTGACCAGTCATACAACCTAATTAAAATATAAACAAAAAGTGTACCTTTAAGCCAATTTGATCACGACAATTACTTGACATCTCTGTCAAAAAAAAATGCTAGCAATTTTTGAACATAGATCATAAAATATAAAGATTATAACAATTATAATAAAGGACAAAATATAAAAAATGGCCTCAGTTCAATAAGTCATTGACAATGTATATATACACAGTAATCTACCTGCAAGTTTTAGAGTAGGAATAAAACTTATCATTGTAGGCTCAGTGTTTAAAATTGGTGTAGTTTTCTACTTAGCATTCAATTACTAAAGAATTTTTTTTAAATCCTAAAAAATGAAAACACTCTTATATCCATCCAAATTAACAGTGGAAGTGAACTGAGGAAATTTTTTTAAATGGGCATATAAACCTTCACTCCCACTGAGAGTATCTGGAAATATGTTTTAAAAACAAATCTACTTTAAAATATAAAACAAGGTGACTTTTTAGAAATATATTTTTAATAATTGTAAAAAAAAATGGTGCATAAAAACAACAGAAATTTAGAAAAGTGTTATTTTTGCAATTAAAACTTACTTTTGACTCAGATATTGTACTTCACTTTCAATTAAATTAAAGAAAAATTTGAGCAGCGTCAGGTGGAGCACCTTGGAGCCAATATTTTCTGAAATTTGATGACAAAAGCTTTCATTGAAAAGGCAAGACCTGAAAAACATGAACCCAACAATCAATAACATACAAGCAATTCCATAAGTAATCTGTGAACAAAATATTTCTCCTTCTAGAATATTGCTGGAATACTAGCCAGAATCCTCCTCTTTCTTACCCAAGATTACTTTCTTTTTCATTAGTTAGTAAATGAAGATTATTTAGGGCTACTTTTTTTAGAGTTTTTAAAATTCATTATTTTATTTTCTTCCTGTCTTCTAGAGCAGTCCTCTCCAACGGAACTTTCTGTGATGATGTATATGTTCTACTAGACACTTGAAATGTGGCTTGTATACCCAAGGACCCAAATTTTTAATTACTTAGTCTGAATAAAATTTAAATATAAATAGATATGGCTAGTGGCTACTGGGTCAGACAGCACACTTCTATAATATATTTTTAAAGAGAACAGAAGATTACTCAGAACTTTTAAGATTTATGAAGTAGTGTCTAGGTAACAATATTTATTACAATCTCCCACCTTTCTTATTGATTATATCAACAATGCACCGATAACTTTCTATCTCTGTCTCCACTTTCCCTGTCTTCTTTTTTAATACAACATTCTCAGGAGAGTCTTTAGTAGCTTTAAATTTAACAATTTATTTAATATTCAACCTGTCTATAAGATCCTTCATGCCCATATAGTTAATCAGTCTTTCTGAAAACTGTCAGATAGAGAACTTACGTTTCTCTATGTATTATGGAATATTTCAAATATATACAAAAGTAGAGAGACCAGTATCCCTTAGCTCATTTATATTCCTACCACTTCGCCAAGCACCTCCCCAGCACCCAATTATTTTGAAATGAAATCTGGATATTTTTGTTTAAAAGTCTATTTTTAAGCTGCCCAAAATCTATTGCCTGTAGCATCAATAAATTCATCCATTTATTAAGCACTTATATTTCAGGCATTATATTAGATATTAAGGATGGAGATATTTCAGACTGAACATCTTCTGTAAGAGGAAAGTTTAAAGAAAGAAAAACAAGACTAAGCAACTATCCTTAATAAAGTCACAGGACTGATGTGAGCGACAAACTTAAAAGAAAGGGCAAGAGTAAGAAAGTGGCAGCAGAGTTGCATTTTAAGGGAAAACTATGGCTGAGCATGGTAGCCCATTTCTGTAATCCCAGCACTTTGGGAGGCCAAAGTAGGAGGACTGCTTGAGCCCAGGAATTTGAAACCAGCCTGGGCAACACAGGGAGACTTCACCTCTACAAAAAATTTAAAAATTAGTCAGGTAGGTCTGGTGCAGTAGCTCATGCCTGTAATCTCAGCACTTTGGGAAGCAGAGGCGGGTGGATCACTTGAGGTCAGGAGTTCAAGACCAGCCTGACCAACATGGTGAAACCCCATCTCTACTAAATACAAAAAAAAAAAAAGTAGCAAGGCGTGGTGGTGTATGCCTGTAATCCCAGCTACTTGGGAGGCTGAGGCAGGAGAATAGTTTGATCCCGGGAGGCGGAGGTTGCAGTGAGCCAAGATTGCGCCACTGCACTCCAGCCTGGGCAACAGAGCGAAACTTCTTCTCAAAAACCAAACAAGCAAACTACAACCAAAACAACAACAAAAATATTAGTCAGGTATGGTGGGGGGCATCTGTAGTCCCAGGTACTCAGGAGGCTGAGGCAGGAGGATGGCCTGAACCCAGGAGTTCAAGACTGAAGTGAGCTATGATCCTGCCACTGCACTCTGTTCTTGGTGACAGTGAGATTCAAAAAGGAAAAGGAAAGGAAAGAAGAGAAAAGAAAAGGGAAAAAGGAAAGGAACAAAAGCAAAGAGAAGAGAAAAAGAAGAGAGAGGAGAGGGGAGGAGAGGAGTAGGGGCAGGGGAGAAGGGGGCAAGGCAGAGGGGAGGGGAGGGGAGGAAAGAGGAGAGGTGACAGGGGAGGGGAGGGAAGAGGAGAGGGGACGGGGGAGGGAAGGGAAGAGGAGAGGGGATGGGGGAGGGGAAGGGAGAGGAGAGAGAGGAGACAGGAGAGAGGGCAGAGGAGAGAAGAGAAGTAAAGTGAAGCAGTCAGGCATGGTGGCTCATGCCTTTCATCCTGGCACTTTGGGAGGCTGAGGTGGGCAGAAAGCTTGAGCTCAAGTGTTGGAGACCAGCCTGGGAAACATGGTAAGACCTCATTTCTACAAAAAATACAAAACCAGCCAGGCATGGGAGCACATGCCTATAGTCCCAGTTATTCAGGAGGCTGAGGCTGGGAGTTTCAGGCTGCAGTGAGTCACGATTATGCCATTGCACTCCGGTCTGGACAACAGAGTGTCTTAAAAAAAAAAAAAAAAAAACTAGGAAATTTGGAAAACATAAGAGCAAAAGACAGGATACGGAGAATGATTAGACACACTCAGTAAAGTGGTGAAGATGAGAACTGAGACATATATAAGGGCTAACTCATGAAGGGTCTTACGTATTTCGCTAAGAAATTTGAACCATCTTCTATAGGTAGTTCAATGTATGTGAGTCAATGAAGGACTTTAACATGGGAAATGACAAGATCACTTTGGAAAGAGCATACTGTGGGAGTACTTTGCAAGAAAAAAGGAAAAAAAGTAGACCCAAGATCAATAAAGCAGCTACTGCAATAGTTTACATAAGCAGCAATGGGAACTTTAAAATAAAGACAATTGATAGTGAAGAAAGGAATAGATTTGGAAATTATGAAGGATGTCAGCCACATAAACTCTATTTCCTCACATCATATACCTATGCTGGGCTCATACTGTTGGGCTTGTACTTTTGTGCTGGTATTGTGTTTACATCTCAGTCACTTTTAAAGTGCAGGAACTGTTATTTAAATCATCTTTTTAATCCCTAAAATGTAGTACAGTGTCTGGCTCTCCATAAGTACTCAAGAATTTGTTAAAAGAATGAATAAATACATGCGGGTTAACTGATTAGCTCACTATAAATATATCACAACCAAGATGGTATGTGAATCTTTATGATCTCAAAGAGCTAACCAGAGGTCTAGCCTTTGCATGGCTGGTCAGGTGTCCTTTCCCTACTATGAACCTCCTGAAACTGGACATTTAGATTAAGAAAAAAAAAAGATCTTCCCGGTCAGGCATGGTGGTCCACTCCTGTAATCCCGGCACTTTGGGAGGCCAAGTCAGGCAGATCACTTGAGGCCAGCAATTAGAGACCAGTCTGACCAACATGGTAAAAGCCCATCTCTACTAAAAATTAAAAAAACACAAAAATTAGCTGGACCTGGTGGCACATGCCTGTAATTCCAGCTACTTGGAAGGCTAAGGCATAAGAATTGCCTGAGCCTGGGAGGCAGAGGTTACAGTGAGCCAAGATCAGGCCACCGCACTCCAGTCTGGGCGACAGAGCAAGACTCTTGTCTCAGAAAAAGATAAGATCTTCCCAGAAGAATAAGGGCTATCAAATACAGTTATTTGAATAGCAAGGGGAAAACATTTTCTGTTAGGGAGAAAGAAGGTGAAACAGAATTTCTGGAGACAATAACATCTGAAAGACAGAGGAAGGTCTAGGCAGTGACAGCACGTGCAGAAGCATGAAAGAGATGACATTTTTAGGAAATATTAAGTTCTGTTTTAAAATTCAAATTTCTAGCTGAAAAAAAATAACTGAAGCCCTAAAATAGATACTATAGTTACAAATGTCTATACTTTTGGTGACAAAAACTGATGATATGCATATTCCATAAATTAATTTTCTTCATTTAAAAAACAATACGCAAATTTATATTTTGTTAAAAATAATAATGATTTGGCTTTCTAGTGAGTCCATTTCATGCATTCACTTTTTATTTTTTTAGTAAACAGACTGAAAAACATGACCAATACAGACTTGCCTTTTCATAAGTTTTGCAATAAATACAATACATATTTGTATTTGCAAAATACACTACACACACTTTTCCAAAAGTAGAAAAATACTTCTTTCATCAGTATCTTAAAAAAATACTTAGCATAACAACTATTCAATGAAATGTAGCATCGTCAAATGTGAAATTCCTTACCTGATAAGGACTTCTACTAAAGACCATGCTCCTTTCATACAAGTTGGACACTGAAACAACTCTAAATAATATCTTGACATGGCTGGAGACTTCCAAGGAGGATGCAGGTGAAGAAGAGCTGACAATATATGAAAGTATCGACCAGAAAATGTATCTATGTTATCCTATTATTTAAAAATAAACAAACAAATAAAACACTATAGCTAAAAGTAGTTTCACTTGCTAATTCAGTCTAAAACCAAAACAGTAACTCTGGCCTAACTTTCTTTTTTGAGAAGGAGTCTGGCTCTGTCACCCAGGCTGGAGTGCAGTAGCACAATCTTGGATAACCGCAACCTCCGCCTCCCGGGTTCAAGCAATTCTCCTGCCTCTGTCTCCAGAGTAGCTGGGACTACAGGTGCCCACCACCACGCCGGGCTAATTTTTGTATTTTTAGTAGAGATGGGGTTTCACTATGTTGGCCAGACTAGTCTCGAACTCCTGACCTTGTGATCTGCCCGCCGCAGTCTCCCAAAGTGCTGGGGTAACAGGTGTAAGCCACCATGCCTGGCCTAACCCTGGCCTAAGTTTCTTGCCAAATATATGTGTTTAGACAAATGAAAGCAGATAGAAGCATGATGTTTAGCTAATTAAATAAAGCAACCAAGAGGTACACTCTATGTATAGCTGATACCTGAATAACAGGTTTTAACTGCGCGGGTCTACTTACACATGAATTTTTTCCAATAAATGTAGCCTACCCTTCACATCCATAGGTTCCACATCTGCAACTAAATACAGTATTCCGTATTTGGGAGGCCTTGGCCTCTCAAAGTGCTGGGATTACAGGCACGAGCCACAGTGCCCGGCCTAGTAAGAAGTTTTAATTTCCTCACCTGTAAAATAGACAATTCCTGCCCTTGCTGCTAAATGAGATTATGCAGCTCAAAGAGGATGATATGTATGAATGCATTTTATTAGTTATTGTATTAATTATTTTCTATTGCCTTCAGTAGTGAAGGAAAAATTTTTCCCCAGTAGTAAGGGAAAATTTTACAATTACCTCTAAAAGAAAACCTTTAAAAATATAGTATTCATAGAATGTAAAACCTTCATATGTGGAGGGCTGACTTTTCGTATAAGTGCAGGCTCTGAAGAACCAACTGCAGGACTTACGCGCAGATTTCAGTATCCACAAAGGTCCTGAAACCAATATCCTGTGATAGCAAGGGATGACTCTATCTATACACTGGGTAATCCCTTCTATTAACACTACCTTAGATGAAATATTCATTTTCCTTTTCACAATTATAATGAGATTTAAGAGGTCTCAAATGTAACCTGAAAGGAACTAAAGGTAAGAAACTATTCATGCAACATGCTTACTTATCACCAACATAACATACCTGAAAAAACTGATGCCTGTTATGTTATCAAATTAGCACCTTGGTGAAGGGCATGATTAGAAAGCTATCTTTGAATATTTGCTTCTATTGGTTTACACAGTTTGAATATGTTCCCAGTATGGGCAACACAGCAAGACTCCATCTCTACAAAAAAATATAAAAATTAGCCAGGCATGGTGGCACGTGCCTATAGTGCCAGCTACCTGGGAGACTGAAGCAGAGGGACTACTTGAGCCTAGGACGTTGAGGCCACAGTGAGCCATGATCACACCACTGCAGTCCAGCCTGGGCGACAGAGAGGGACCTTGTCTCTTTTTCTTTTTAAACAAAGAGTATGTTCATTATGTATACTATAAATAAAAATTATAATCGTCAATGTACTAATGGAGTAATTTACCAAATGTAATTCTAGATCACTGTAATCTGAGTTTTATATTTGATACTTTACTGCCGTGAGAAAAATTAGATAACCTTTTTCCCCAAAACAAAATTATCTTAGAAATCCTAAGAAAATAATTAGCTAAAGCACTAAGAGTAGTACCTAGTATATAGCTGGAAAACAGAAGAGTGGTAATAAATGGGTACTGCACTAGTGAAATGAAGAAAAAAAACCACTGAACAGAGAAACTGTAAACATACAAAAAATGAGAAAATGTTCACATTTTAACATTCTTTGAAAAAAAGATTATAAATCCTTAAGGCTGCTCTTACCTGTAGAACGTTCTCTAGAAGGGCATGAAGAATGCATACAGGAGGGATATAATGTGCCTGCAAAGTGGAAAGTTCCTCAATTGCTTCTTTAAAAAACTGTCCTTCTATGAGGCTTTCAATTAAATTTAATACACCTCTGGGAAATTCAGTATTTTTAACCTAAGAAAGGAAAGATTATATGATTCAGAGAAAAGAACGATAAAATTTTGCAATCAAATCTTGAATTAGTAAGAAGTTTTTTTACTTATTTATTTGAGACGGAGTCTCACTCTGTTACCCAGGCTGGAATGCAGTGGTGCGATCTCGGTTTACTGCAACCTCCGCCTCCCAGGTTCAAGTGATTCTCCTGCCTCAGCCTCCTGAATAGCTGGGCCTACAGATGCGTGCCACCATGCCCAGCTAGTTTTTGTGTTCTTAGTAGAGACGAGGTTACACCATATTGGCCAGGCTGGTCTCGAACTCCTGACCTCAGGTGATCCGTTTGCCTCGGCCTCCCTAAGTGCTGGGATTACAGGCGTAAGCCACCGCGCCCGGCCTAGTAACAAATTTTAATTTCCTCATCTGTGAAATGAATATAATTCCTGGCCTTGCTGCTGGATGAGATTATGTAGTGCAAAGAGGATGATATGTATGAATGTGTTTTATTACTTGTTATATTAATTATTTTCTGTTGCCTTCAGTAGTAAGGGAAAATATTGCCTCTAAAATAAAACCTTTAATAGGAATTTGCAGAGTTTGGTTGATAAAAAAGAGAAAGAGCTACAACGACATAGTTCTTTAGTGAAAAATTATTTTTTGGTTTTCTTTTAAACTTAAAAATGAACCCTATTAAAATATCTTTTAAATGTTAAGATATCATCAAGCACAAGCAACATTTGCAAAAAGTGAAAACTGATTGGGAGAATCATAAAATCACTCTGAGGATGTGTATTTATATAACTCTAAGAGCTTCACAAAACACATTCCCGTTGGTCAAACTATTCTTAATAATAAAAGTAACTACTTTGAATAATTTGAGTCAAAAATACTCTAAAAGACTACATGGAATTAAAAAATCCAGTTTAGAAGAATAAATAAGGAAACAAGGGCCTCAAGCCCAATTCCCTCCCTAATTTAACAATGGACTGGATATATGTATTGTGGGTCTATTTTGTTCTGAAATGAAAGTATGTAAAATAAAGGTATCATGTTCTTTAAATAACAAAATAAATACACTTTTGTAAATATCATACCAAAAAATTTTAATCTAAAAGTAGTCATTATGAAAGTTATGAAACACGAGAACAGGAATGTATATTTCACCTGTCATAAGCACGAGGTGTGTTGCTAATATTTGTGATCATTTTTTACTATTATATGGAAACTGTTTGGCGTTTTGACAGAATATTTTTATCATTTCTGATTAAAGAAACTATTTCTTTATTTGTGCATACAACACATTACTTTTATTCAAAATAACTAACAATAACAAAACACAAACTTCTTCTTTGTCGCCATCACCAATGCTGTTCCAAGTCCCTTACCTCTACATTGTACATTGGTTGTTTATCTATTCTAACGCAGTTGTATCTGACAGCCTACAAAAGAGCAACCATATAATTAATACAACATTTTAAGACTGAAAAATACATTTCAGCTTCCCCAAACCTTGGAAAAACATATAAAACAGATCCAGGAACACATTAATAGCTATAATTAATACGATGCTCATATTTACTCAAACTAGCAACTTTTATTATTTTAGGGAACTCTCACAACTATGAACATTTCTCTATTTTCTCCTTCTAAATTACAATAATTAAGTCATATTCACTTTGAAGATCTGAAGAGGTTCATTGTCCTTAGTGTCATAATTATTAGAAATATAAATGGCGAGAGCATTTTCTACAAGGGTACATAGGAGAAAAAAACGTCAGTTACGTTTGCTATACAACCATATGTCAAATCTTGTTTTAAAACACCTATAATTGCATATTTAAAAGATTATCCTGGAAAAATATCTGCAACAAATATAATAAAGAGATAATACCCTGAGGCTGGGCGCTGTGGCTCACAACCTGTAATCCCAGCACTTTGGAAGGCCAAGCTGGACAGATCACCTGAGGTCAGGAGTTTGAGACCAGCCCGGACAATATGGCAAAACCCCGTTTCTATTAAATATACAAAAATTAGCCAGGCGTGGTGCAGGCGCCTGTATTCCCAGCTACTCTCAGGAGGTTAAGGCAGGAGAATTGATTGAACATGGAAAGTGCAGGTTTCAGTGAGCTGAGATTGTGCCACTGCACTCCAGCCTGGGCAACAGAGCAAGAACCTGTCTCAAAAAAAAAAAAAAAACAAAAAAACCCTGGAAGAAGGGGGCTTCAAAAAGGCTGACTTAAAGGTGCTTGGCACTCAACTCTTCCACAAAGGACTAAAACAGTGAGCAGATAATCACGTATCGAATAGGTCATCTAAGAGAGAACATTACAATTCAAAAGTGACAGGGAATCTCTGAGGCAAGCAAACACAGAGAAGCAAAGCAGCTGGCTCAAATGGAACTGGCTGGGAGCCTGGAGAAACTACCCACTACGAATGGGAAAAACAAAAGAGAGATCTACACAGATTCACATTCCCACCATGAATTCCTGCAATCCTAGCCGCAGAAGAGCCCCTTAGTCCTCACAGGCCCAGAGACTAGTTTAGAAAGCTGCCTAGAGTCCACTCAATGGCATTATTCCAAAGACAGAGTACACGCTGAATACTACATAATCTGCTGGCACCCAAGAGGCTGCAGCACGGTGCCATTTCGAGAACCCAGACACTACCAGACTACATCCTGCTCTGGGGCCCAACAGTCCTTGGATATCCACAAGTCAGGAGCCCCACTGATATTCTTGTCCACCCAGAGGGCTGAAGTGTCATGATGCCAGCTGAAGTCAACAATGCAACTAGGTGGCCAGCACTCTTACCTACACAGTGTCCTACATCCTGAGAAGTAGGAGGTGGAGTGCACCAGGGAGCCCACGCTGGGGACAAAAGGAACCAAAGAAGGAGCTCCTCAGATCCTGACAGCCACCTGTCTGGGGCCTCTGTCACTGGCAGAAACCCTGTCCCACAGAGTTTCTGCGTGTTTCAAATCCTGCCCAGCAGCAGCATCGTCATACACTTGCATGTGGCTTCAGGAGGCCTGAGGACTGGTCTACTGGGGGTTGTCCCAAGGCTTAAGGATAGATCCACTCTGCCTGCCACTGGTGCCCACAAGCACCATCTGGAAGCCTGAAGACAGGCCTACCCCACCCACCACCACTGTGTAAATGCACAATACGAGGACGTGGGGATCAGACCGCCTTGTGTGCTGCAGCCAGAGCCTACAGGAACTATTGGGGGGCCTGAGGAGAGGCCTACCCCACTCTGACTACTAGCAATGCCACCAGAGCCCAAGTGCACTGCCAGGGAGAATGGGTATCAACCCATCCCTGTCCAACACTCCTGGTGCCTGTGCACACCATTGAGAGGCCTGATAACAGGACTACCTGGCCCACTGCAACAGGCACTTGAGCACGCTGATATGATGCCTGTGAACAGACCTGCCTCACTCACCACAGCTGGCACCCACACCCATCATCAGGGGCCTAAGAACAGGTTAGCCCTGCATGCAGTCTCTGGTAATGCCACCTACATTTGTCATCCAGGAACATGGGGATCAACCCACCCATTCACCAACCAAGTACCCAAATATACCATCTGGGGGCCTAGGACAACCCACTCTGCCAACTGCCACTGCTGATGGGGCCCCAGCACATCATCTGAGAACCTGTGGATCGACCCATCACACCAGCTACCAGGAGCACCTATGCAAACAACTAGGGGGATCAAAGAATGAGCATGTCAAGCTGCCACTGCTGGTAACCACCCACATGTGCCACTTGGCCTGCTCGGCCTATTTCCACCACTGCTGGCACCCATGTTTGATACTTGGGGGCCCGAGGATTGGCCCACAACCAGTACTGCCATTGCCAACACCATGCACACCACCCAGAGACCTGAGGACCCACTCACCCCACTACTGTCACTGCTGGCACCCAAGCAAGTCACCAGGAGGCACAGGGATTGGCCTACCCAGACCTGTGATGACTGGTGTCCATGTATATTGCCCAGGGACCCAAGAACCAGCATGCACAGCCTGCTGCCACCACCACTGCTGCCCAAGGACCACTCGCCTGTGTCCACATCCCCAGCAATGCTTCATTATAGCCTCCACTAACAAATGCAGCCTAAGCCACTGACAAACTCAAAGATAACACTGTGGATGACTACAGATGAAGAAATCATATGGAGACTACACCAATGTGCTCACGTCTGGCAAAACTAAAGCACTCGATCCAAACTACACTATAGATACAACTATAGAAAAAAGTCTTTCCCTATGAAAACCAATTCACAAAATTTGAAGTGACTGTTACACCAGATACACAGATAGCAACATAACTACACAAGAAAGGTGAAAAAGCAAGAAAACATGGCACCTGTAAAGGAACACAGTAATTCTCCAGCAACAGATTCCACCAAAAAGGAAACCAATAAAATTCCTGAAAAAAAATTAAAATGATGATATTAAAAAAAACTCAGTGAGATACAAAAGAACACAGATGAACAATACAAAGTAAGCAGGAAGATAATTCATGATCTCAATGAGAAATTCAACAAAGAGATAATCATAGAAAAGAACCAAATAGAAATCATGGAACTTAAGAATTCAATGAACGAAATAAAAAATATAACAGAGAACTTCAGCAATAGACTAGATAAAACAAAAGAAACTATTTCTAAACATGAAGACAGGTCTTTTGAAATAACAGACAAAAAGAAAAAAGCCTAAATGACATATGGGAAACCATAAAGTAAAGAAATATTCCAATTTTGAGAGTTCCAGATGGAGAAGTGATGGGCAAAGGCATAGAAAACCTATTTTAAAAACAATAGCTGAAAATGTCCCAAGTGTTGTAAGAGCTATTTCCAAATAGATTCAATCCTCAAAGGTCTCCAAGGCACATTACAGTCAAACCATCAAGTCAAAGACAAAGAAAGAATCCTAAAAACATCAAGAGAAAAAGCATAAAGTCACATATAAGGAAATCCCAATCAGGGTGACAACAGATTTCTCAGCAGAAGCCTTAAAGCCAGGAAAGAATAACATGACACGTTCATAGTATTGAAAGGAAAAAAACCAAAAACAACAACAACAACAAACCCAACTCAACAGGCAAGAATATTATACCCAGAAAACCTATCCTTCAAAAATAATGGAGAAATAAAGTCTTTCCCGGACAAGCAAAAACAGAGAATTCATTACTAACAGACCAACCACACAAGAAATGTTTAAACAAGTTCTACAGTTGAAAGCAAACAGATGATATCCACCATCATGAAAACACAAGAAAGTATGAAACTCACCGCAAAGCAAAAATACAAATAAGGGCCAAATGTTACCAATACAAAAAAACCACCCAACTGCAATGATAAACAATAAAAGAAGAAATGAAAAAAGGACTTACAAAACACAAAACAATTAACAAAATAACAGGAGTAAGTCCTCACCCATAATAACCTTGAATGTAGATGGATTAAAATCTCCACATAGAAGATACAGACTGGCTGACTGGCTACATATATTAAAAAAGCAGTGTGTTGCCTATAAGAAACTCTCTCCACCTGTTAAAACACATAAAGACTGAAAGTGAAGAAGAACGGAAAAAGATATTCCACAAGAATGGAAACCAATGCGAGCAGGAGTAGCTATACTTACATCAGAAAAAGCTTTCTAAGTTAAAAACTGTAAAAAGAGATAAAGGTCATTACATACTGATAAAAAGATCAATTCCGCAAGAGGATATAACACTTCTAAATATCTATGCACCCAACTTGGAGCACCCAGATATATAAGGCAAATATTACTAGATCTAGAGGGAGACAGAGACTTCAACACAGTGACAGTTGGGGCTCTACTACCCCATTCTAAGCATTGGACAGATTATTGAAACAGAAAATCAAAAAACAAACATTGGATTTAAACTGCACGTTACAACAAATGAACCTAACAGACATTTAAAGAACATTTTATCTAACAGCTGTGGAATACACATTCTTCTCATTAGTATATGGGACATTCTTCAGGGTAGACATTAGGCCATAGAACAAGTCTCATAAAATTTGAAAAGATTTGAAGTCATATCAAGTATCTTTCTCAGGCAACAATGGAATAAAACTAAAAATCAGTAAGAGAAACTTTGGAAACTGTACAAATACATGTAAATAAAATCACATGTTCCTAAACGACCATTGGGTCAATGAAGTAATTGAGAAGGAAATAAAACATTTCTTATAATAAATAAAAATGGAAACACAACATACCAAAACCTATAGAATACAGCAAAAGCAGTGCTAAAAGGGACATTTACAGAAAAAATGCCTGTATCTAAAAAGTAGAAAGATTTCAAATAATCAACCTAACAATGCACCTCAAGGAACAAGAACAGCAAGAACAAACCAAACCCCAAATTAGCAGAAGGAAATAATAAAGATCTATTATTATTTAGAGTAATTATAAATTAACAAATATTTATTAAAGATATATAATGTAATAAATTTTAATAAATAAATAATAAAGAGTAGAATGAAACAAAATAGACTTAAAAATACAAAGGATCAATGAAACGTTAATTTTTTGAAAAGATAAACAAAATCAATAAGCCATTGGTAAGACTAACAAAGAAAAAAAAGAAAAAAACCCAAATAAATAAAATCAGAAGTGAAAAAGGACACATTACAATTGATATCAAAGAAACACAAAAGAATATTAGAGACCATTATGAACTATACACTAACAAATCAGAAAACTTAGGGGAAATAGATAAATTCCTGGACACATAAAACCTACCAAGATTGAATCAGGAAGAAACCGAAAACCTGAACAGACCAATGAGTAATGAGATTTAATCAGTAATAAAACTCTCCCAACAACAACAACAAAAAGCCCAGGACCAAAAGACTTCATTGCTGAACTCAACCAAATGTACAAAGAACTATCAACAGAAATTTTCAAACTGTTTCAGAAAATTGAAGGGTAGGAAATTCTTCCTAACTTATTCTACAAGGACACCATTATCCTGATACCAAAACCAGACGAAGACACAACACAAAAAGAAAACTACAGGGCAATATCCCAGAGAAACGCAGATGCAAAAATCCTTAACAAAATACTAGCAAACGAAATCTAACAACACAGCAAAAAGACAATACACTATAATCAAGTGGTATTTATCCCAAGGATGCAAGGATGGTTCAATGTATACAAATAAGTAAATTAATAAAGACAAAATGAAGGACAAAAACTATTTGATCATTTTAATATATGCAAAAAAGCATTTAATAAAATTTCTTCAACATCCCTTCATGATGAAAACTCTCAACCAACTAGGCACAGAAGTACTTCAACATAACAAAGGTCATACCTGACAAACCCATAGCTACCTTCTGTGAAATGGGAAAAACATGAAAGCCATTCCCCTAAGAACTGAAACTAGAAAAGAATGCCTACTTTTGCCACTTTTATTCAACATAATAACTGAAAGTCATCCTCACCAGAGCAATCAGGCAAGGAAAAGAAAGAAAAGGCATCCAAATTGAAAAAAGAAGTAAAATTGTCCCTCTCTGGAGACGACGTGATCTTATATGTAGAAAAACATGAAGACTTGAAAAAAAAAAAATCACTTAAAACTGATAAATGAATTCAGTAAAGCTGTGAGATAAAAAGTTAACATTCAAAAATCAGTAGTATTTCTATATGCCAATAATGAACTAGGTATAAGTCAATCACGAAAGCAATCCCATTTACAAGAGCTCTAAAAATTATACAATACCTGGGAATATATTTAACCAAGGAGGTGAAAGATCTCTATAAGGAAAAAACTACAAAACACTGATAAAAGAAATTGACATGGACATAAACAAATGGAAAGACATTCCATGTTCATGAGTTTGAAGAATTAATATGGTTAAAATAACCACACTGCTCAAAGTAATCTACAAATTTAATGCAATCCCTATCAAAATATCAATGACATTCTTCTGTGAAACAGGAAAACAATCCTAAAATTTGTAAACAACCACAAAAGACCTTAAATACCCAAAGCAATGCTGAGCAAGAAGGACCCTAAATATCCAAAGCAATGCTGAGCTGGAGGCACACACTACCTGACTTCAAAGTACACCACAAAGCTATAGTAACCCAAACAGCCTGGTACTAGTATAAAAACAGACATCTAGACCAGTGAAGAACAGAGAATCCAAAAATAAATCCACATATTTAAAGCAAACTGATTTTGGACAAGGTGCCAAGAACATTCACAGGGGAAAGGACAGTCTTCAATAAATGATGCTGGGAAAATCGGATAATCATAAGCAGAATGAAAACTAGACTGTTATCTCTTCACCATATACAAAAATCAACTCAAAATGAATTAAAGACTTCCAGGTAAAACCTGAAACTATAAATGTACTAGAAGAAAACATAGGGGAAACACTTCAGAGCATTGGTCTAGGCAAAGATTTTACAGCCAAGACTTCAAACACATGACTTATCTGTGACATTATTGAGGTATAAATAGCACATAATTCAGCCTGTTTAGTAAATGCCCAAATACATTACTGTATAATAGACTAGTAAACTAAGAAAATCATTTTAAGACATATTAAACATACTAATGAATCATATGTATATATGTATATATTTTGAATACACTACAGGACAGGATATTATACAAAATTTTTCATGTGCCAAGTTTTACCTGAGCTCTATATATGTGCTTCCTTAAGGCATTTTTTATTTCAACAACATCCACATCTGTCTTGATAGCCATGGCTTTTGATTCTTTGGCATATTCAGCAAAAATAGAATTCTTCATTTCTTTCTACATACAGCAAAGTAAAATGACTTTAGAAAATGTACTAAAGACAGTGTCAACATAGATATCACAAAGGACAATATAAGAGGAAAACATTCATACCTTGTTAACAACAAAGATCCTCACAATCATATATCAAGATTACACAATGAAAGAAAAAGCTCAAAAAGCAAACATTTCAATTTGTAAAGAATTAACTGATATTTACATATGTACTTTCTTAAGGTACTTTTCACTTTATCCTGCTCCAAATCGTTCCTGGAACTGCTTTTTTGTTGTTGCCATGGTCATACAAAACAAAATTCATTACTTATTTATCATTTTCCTGAAATTCTTCTGAATATATGCATATATACATTACGTGGCATTTATTTATGTATTTAGGTATTTATTTTTGAGATGGGGTCTTACTCTTGTCACCCAGGCTGGAGTGCAGTGGTACAATCTTGGCTCACTGCAACCTCTGCCTCCGAGGCTCAAGTGATCCTCCCACCTCACCCTCCCAAGGACCTGGGACCACAGGCACCCACTACCATGCCAGCTACTTTTTTGTATTTTTGGTAGAGATGGGGTTTCACCATGTTGCCCTGCTCTCACACTCCAGAGCTCAAGTAATCTGCCCCGTTGGCCTCCCAGAGCGCTAGGATTACAGGTGTGAGCCACCACATCCAGCCCAGGGTATGGTTTAGATTGTTAAAAAAAGTCATACTCTAGAGAAAATTTACCCAAGATGTATTCAATTTTAAAAACAAGATATCTCATTAAAAATGGTCTGTATTATACAAAAGAAAGAGCAAAACAAAAAATAAAATTTACACTGGAAAGTATTACCCAAATATACACACATGTAGTTTTAAAGATTTTTTCATTTTAAGAAACAGTCTTCTCCAGTTTCTTTTTCTTATTCATTACATTCAGGCAAAACAAAATTCACTGAATACCTTGATTATTAACTCAGATTTCTTTGTATATGCATGTACAAATACATTTACTGTGGACCAAAGTTAACTGGGATATTAACTATGAATATTACATCAGACTGACTTAAGATTTTTTCTTAAAACATGTAGTATTACATATCTTGATTATATTAGAGAACAGCCAAAAAATAAAAAAGAAAGCTATAGCTTAGCTTACAAAGCTTTACCTGATCTCTATTACATATGTGCCTTCTTAAGGTACTTTTAATTTTTTCATGTTCAACGTCTTTCTTGCAATTGCTTTCTTTTTCTTTCTTGCGTTTTCTCCTCAAAGTATAACTCCTTTGAACATCTTCATCTTTTTTCTTAATTTCCTTCTACATGTATTTAGACCACAATTAAATCTCAACATCAATGACTTATGTTACAAAATCCAAATAAACTCACGAGTGACTTTCACACAAGTATACCACATTAAAAAATAAAGAAGTACGGCCGGGCACGGTGGCTCACGCCTGTAATCCCAGCACTTTGGGAAGCCAAGGCGGGCGGATCACCTGAGGTCGGGAGTTAGAGACCAGCCTGACCAACATGGAGAAACCCCGTTTCTACTAAAAATACAAAATTAGCCAAGGGTGGTGGCATATGCCTGTAATCCCAGCTACTCGGAAGGCTGAGGCAGAATCACTTGAACCTGGAAGGTGCGGGTTGTGGTAAGCTGAGATTGCACCATTGCACTCCAGCCTGAGCAATTAGAGTGAAACTACATCTCAAAAAAATAAAAATAAAAATAAAAATAAAGAAGTATGTACAACAGAATCTCATCCATTGATGGAGTAGGTGTACATTAGTAAAATATTTTGAAAAAAGTTGGACACTGCCCAGTACAGTTGAACATACACAGTCCTTATGACCCAGCAACTCCATTCCTAGGAATATACCAACTAAGCTAGAGAAATTACTAAACATGTATCCCAAGAGGTATACAAAATAATGTTCACATTATTCATAGCAGAATTGTTCATAATTGCAAAAACTTAACAATCAAACACATAAACCAATAAAAAGAAGCCCAAAGGCTTATCAACAGTAAAATGGATAAAAGATGTAATTGTGGCACAGTCAAACAGTAAAATTTTATATACACCAGCAAAAGAAGTCTATAATAACAAACTATAAAATGTTCATGAATAGACAAAGCTAAACCATATAGAGTTAGAGATACACACATAGCTGTTAAAATTATAATGAAAAATAAGAAAAGAATGAACACAAATTCTCAGACAAGGATTACTTCTAGGTAAGAGGAAGAAAGGGGATGTATTAGAAAATGATACAGCAGGTTGGGCGCAGTGGTTCACGCCTGTAATCCAAGCATTTTGGGAGGCCGAAGCACGCGGATTACAAGGTCAAGAGATCAAGACCATCCTGGCCAACATGGTGAAACCCCGTCTCTACTAAAAAAATTACAAAAATTAGCCAGGTGTGGGGGCGTGCACCTGTAGTCCCAGCTACGCGGGAGGCTGAGGCAGGAGAATTGCTTGAACCCATGAGGCAGAGGTTGCAGTGAGCTGAGATTGTGCCACCGCACTCCAGCATGGCGACAGAGCAAGACTCCATCTCAAAAAAAGAAAAAAGAAAATGATATAGCAGGTCTTAGAAAACCGATAATGCTCTATTTCTTAATCTAGCTATTGGATACAATAACTCATTTTTACACATTTTTTAAAAGCTGAAGAAAACTGTTCTATAAACACTATATATATTAAAAATAAATAAATTTTTTTTAATTTAGAAAGTTGTACCTGATTTTCATATGTATGACTTCCAAAGGTATTTCTCATTTTGACAAATTTCAAATCTTTACTGGAACCACTGAATTTTTCTTTTTTGTGATGTTCACTCAAAATAGAACCAACATTAACATCTTCATCATGATTTTGCATTTCTTTCTGCATGTTTGTAAAAGCAATTTAGTTAAGACTGTGGATTAAATATAGCCTTAACGCAATCAACACAAGTCACAAAAGAAAAACCCATCCACGAAAGTAGGTTTTGTAAAATATACATAGAAGGTTAAATATAGTAAAGAGCCCTCTGAATTATGTAAGATAAAGCAGAACATAACTGTTTTCAGTTCATAAAGCTTTATAGTACACATATATGCTGCAGTTTACCTATGTGCTTAACTCAGATTAAGAAGTATTAAAAATCATGTTGTTTAATCATTAAACCAAATAGCTATTTTTAAAAAAGGGTATTTCTACTTGAATTTTACATACATAATTTGAGTCCTAAAAAGAACTCAAGAAGACATATATACAGTCATGCACTGCTTAACGATGGGGATATGTTTTGAGAAGTACATCGTTAGGTGATTTCATCACTGTGCGAACATCAGAGTCTACCTACACAAACCTAGATAGTATAGTCTACTACACACCTAGTCTATATGGTATGGCCTATTGCTCTTAAGTTATAAATCTTTACGACATGTTACAGTATTAAATGCTATAAGCAATTGCAACACAATGCTGAGTATTAGTGTATCTAAACATAGAAAGAGTAAGTAAAAATATGGTATTATAATCTTATGGGATCACTGTCATATATGGGGTCCGTTGTTGACCAAAACATCACTATGTGTACATGACTGTAGATGTATTTTAATAATTTCCATTTATCTTAAATGTCTATTTTATTTTTTGCCATGTTTATTCAAAACTAAATTTATTTTAATAACTCCATCATCATTTTACATTCTTCTCTATATGTAAAAATGCTATATACTGTGGTTTACAATGTATATTTCACAATAGGCACATCAACTCAAAACAGCTTCTCATTAAAACATGCACATATAGTAAATTACAAGAAGTAGTCAGAAGTCACATAAATATCAATATACACTGGAAAAGTCAGAAAAAAATGCAAAAATATTTTAAGTTTGGAAAGTTTTAGCAAATCTTGCCATATCCAATTTCTTAAGGAACTACGCAATTTTAAAAGTTCCAAATTATTCCTAGAATTAGCTTTCAAAACTACTTGACAGATATGGTAAAAACAATTTATTTTGAATTTCTTCCTAGTTATTCATAAAACTTTTAGTTTAGACTAATAATTATCAAGTTAATAATCTGATAAATTAACCAAATAGACTGCTTCATAAAACACAATATGAAACTGAACATAACTGAACATTAGCTCTTCTAGAGCAGAACTAATAATGTCCTTTTTGTGGTTGCTACTGCTTTTTGAAAAGTTGTACTTGACAGCCACCATATATGCTTTCTTGAGGTACTTTTCATTGCTCCAAGTTCAAAGTCCTTCCTGTTTTATTGTTTTACAAGTTAATCAAACTAGAATTCATTTGTGTATTTTTAAATTTTACTCTATATAAATACTTGAATTTACATGAATTATAAATATATATTGTGCTCTCAGGTAAGAAAAATGCTTTATAAGACACACATGTTACCTAAACATACAGTTTTTAAGTAATTACCATGTGTTGAGAACACACTATATATAAGGAACTCTGTATATTTCCAGACGCATACAAACATTACTTCATCAACAAGAGTTCCAAAGCAGAGACAGAGGACAATTTCCTAACATGTTCAAGTCATGGACTATCAACACGTGGTTCAAACACCAGCTTTCTGATTCCAAAATCTGTTTTTTTCCACCATACTTTGCCTCTCAAACAATTTTGCAAGAAACATCAGCAATGTATGTTTTCCAGCCTATAAAGTTTACCTGGGTTCTATACATGGTCTCTTTTAAGGCACCCTTCATTTCAAGAAATCCTGCATCTTTCCTGAAATCTTTGTTTTTTTCTTCATTACTATGTTCAGTCCAAACAGAATTGGTTTGGGAATCTTCATCATTCTGAATTTCTTTCTGTATGTATGTAAAAATGGTTTAGGCAATCATCTAAGTGTATTTTCAATACTACGTACATTTTATGGTATTCAGCCTTAACTATAATTACATAATACTTTGTTAGTCAAACAAGTAGGTAAAATGCACCCTCTTAAAGTATATTAAACACTGATAAAAATCTTTCAGGGAAAAAATTCTTAGAGCAAAGGTCCTGAATAATAAAGTGATTTCTGCATATCTCAAGAAAAGGTAATGCTCTGTTGATCTACTAACAAGTCATTTTTATGAACAACCAAGAACAAAAATATTTTATCTAGTCCCTGTTCAAGCTAAAGTTACAATCTAGATTTTACAAATCATCAATTATAGATAGACTTTTTCTTGGATTATTTTTCAGTTTTTTACTGGTAAGACTTCTCACTTGCAAGTATACCCCACACAGAGAGGAAAAGGTTACACAATACTTTTCCTCGAACAGCAATGAACAACAATGATCTTAACATAGCTCTATCTCAAACAACTAAATTTCTCTTGTCAAGGAACCCAAACTGAATTCATAAATTAACTTCTAATAATTACTTTAAAATTTATTGCATATATACTTATACATATAATTCTGTAAGTTTAGTAATATAAACAGCTGGGAGTAAAAGTGAGTTCAAGACAGTTCCCAAAATGTACTTATGAGAAGCTGTTCAGGCTGGGCGCGGTGGCTCGTGCCTGTAATCCCAGCACTTTGGGAGGCTGAGGCGGATGGATCACAAGGTCAGAAGACCAAGACCACCCTACCCAACATGGTGAAACCCTGTCTCTACTAAAAATAGAAAAATTAGCCGGCCGTGGTGGCGCGTGCCTGTAGTCCCAGCTACTAGGGAGGCTGAGGCAGGAGAATGGCTTAAACCCGGGAGGCGGAGGTTGCAATGAGCCAAGATCGTGCTTGAACCTGGGAGGTGCAGGCTGCAGTGAGCCGAGATCACACCACTGCACTCCAGCCTGGGTGACAGAGCGAGACTCCGTCTAAAAACAAAAAGAAAGGCTGTTTTCAGAGATTCACAATCTCTACCCAAAGAGACTGAAGAATCACAGTCTTCCTAGGGAACAATTATAAAAAACCAAAAATGTGTTAAGATCTATAACATGATCTTTAGTTCCCTCTCACTCACACTTGGCTTCCTATGTTAAAATGAGGGCTGTTCTTTTAGCAGGCTGCAATCCTGAAACCACAGAAAAATCCCTGAGAACAGCTGATTGAATTTCTTTTTCAGAAACTCAGAAAGGTGAAACTGAAAAGTAAGAAAATAAAGACTTTTCTCCCTTCCTATTCCTGGGACCAAAGAATGTATCAACAACAATTTCTGTTAAGGGCAACTTGCAGGTGGGGGGAAATGAGTTTCTGGCTTTAAATTTTACGTGGTTGGCAATGGGAGGATAAATCCATAGGCTTAGGTCCTCAAAAAGTGTCCAGAATACAGGATGAATTAATCCCATATACATTCTCGTTACGGAGAATGCAAGGGAACATACCACTATCATCAGCAACGAGGCAAGAAATAAACTGTTTCTTAATCCTGAATATATTTACTTATGTGTCCATTTCAGATGCTACATATGAATCTGTAAATTAGGATGTATGACACTAGTACCCTATGTAAGTTTTTAAAAATCACAATCTGATACAGAAGGTATAATATTTGAAAGTTTTGAAATTAAATAATCTATTTTCTATATAGCTAAACAAATGATCCACAAATATTTTTCTCTAAGCCACTAACACTTTGTCTAATTGGTGACTCTTATGAAATATAAAGAAATTATTTAACTATAAATATTCATTTTTATTCCTTGTAAGTGTCTTAGTGTCAACTTATGTACTAGGCATTGGGTTAGGTGTTTGCCTCCTTTTATAATCTAGGAAAGCCAGTCCAAGACTAGTATATTTTATACAGGATAGTGCTATGCACTAAAGAATAACTAAAAGCCTGCTTAATCAGCTACTTATTCTATCATCTAGGAGTAGGGCAACACAGTTGTGGCAATGAGAGTTGGCTTTTGATTCTGATATTTGACTGAGTTTCCTATCTTTGGCTGGGTGTAATTGATATGCTCTGGTCTCCAGGTCTTATTCCAATATTCAGCCAAAGCATCTGTCACAAAACTTGAATGAACTGATTAGAGCAGATGCATAAGAAGAGACAGATAAGAAAGGGAGTCCTTTGAGCGCCACTTGGTTCTTAACTTGTATTTATACCCTGATGCTTAAATAGCATTTCATAATCCTATGACTAGATATTCGTTTATAGTATCGATTATGGCATTATTATTTTTTAACTACCTACAAAGAGACTGGAAATCCAATAATACTCAAAATGGGGAGATGAAAAGGATCTAGGAAAGGAAGATTTGAGGAAAGAAGCCTTAAAATTGATTGAGTGGTTGGCTTTAAGTTTCTGCTCTGAAACATGACGGCTGTGGGATCTTGGGCAAGTTACTTACCCTCATTTTACCTCAAAATTTATCCCAAACAGTAAATGGAGTCATAATACATACCACACATGAACATGAGGTTTAAATATGACTAAGCATGTAAAATGCTTAACATACTGCCTGACCCATAATAATCACTCAGTAACTATTACTCAAAGCAGTAATAGTAATAATTCTCACAACCACCAAAGCAATGCAGTATTAGCTTCTATACACAAAGGGAGAAACTAAGGGACACAATACATGACTTTCCTATGGTCACAGTACTACATTATAAATCTGGATCACAAATTAGTTGATCTGGCTCAAAAAGTCTATGCTGTTTCTGTTATTCCTAATACATTCCCATAAGACTGCTGCAATTCATTTTTCTTTCTTAAGTAGTCAAGGTAAGTTCTCAGTATTCCTAGGTAGCCTCTCATTTTTATGAAACTTTCCTTGGGCCAAACAATTGAGATATGTTAGCCATTTGTTCCTCTGTATTCCTGTAGCGTGTACAGTTTTACAAATGTGCGATTCATATGAATTGCAAGTAACAGTGTCCACGTTCTTCCTCCATCACTAAATAGTAAGCATCTCAAAGTGCGATATATGGTCTTATTCATTTTCATATCCCTAGTGCATTGCATAATGCCTGGTACAGCTATGGTCTTCAATAAATATCTATAAAGCTGAAATAAATAGATTTCTAATTCTGGTACTCAGAAGCTTTTCCAAAAGTATAAGAGGGTTAAACAAAACTTTTTTTTAAAAAATGCTACTTTAAAAAAAAAAGGGGAGGGGGACAAGGTCTCACTCTGTTGCTCAGTTGCTCAGGCTGGAGTGCAGTGACACAATCATAGTGCTAACTGCAGCCTCAACATCCTGGACTAAAGCAATCCTGCCTCAGCTTTAGAGAAGCTAGAACTATAGGTGTGTGTCACCACACCCAGCAGATTTTTAAAATTTTTTGTAGACATGGAGTCTTGGTACGTTACAAACTCCTAACCTCAAGTGATCCTCCTGCCTCAGCCTCCCAAAGTGCCGCGATTACAGAACCACCACACCTGGCTTGTTACTATTAACTCACTCATTTTACATGGCAGCTCTTCTTGGATGACACTTCAAAATCCATCTAATGAGGACTGTAATATGATCTATATCGAAGAAATGAAAGACACTGAAATAAAGTTAACTTTCTAATTTCTCTTCTTCTGTGATCAGAAGTGATCACAATATGTCTTCCTTATTTGGACTGGTTATGAACTCCCAGCTGTTCAATTCAGAACTTATAAAACAATGTATTCTAAAACCAAATATAAGTTGGAGATTATCTGCTATCTTCATTGATATACTATTGCTGTCCCCCACTATTTCAGCAGCCAGATATGAATGTTGTTAGACTACTGCAAAATAAGATTATAGATAATGCGCAGTATATGTTGCACTTTAAGCATTATTTTCCAAGCAAAAAAGAAAATTAATATATCTTTACTAATCTAGTTAAGAACAACTTTCGTACTGTTCATACTTAATACTACATGTAAACTATTCAGAGAGGTCTATCAGATAGTGTGCTTTTGGCTGCAAATAATAGAAAACCAACCCAAACTAACTTAAACAACATGGAAATGAATTACCACACAGAAGAGCAATGTGGTCTAATGGTAAAACAGGTTTCGGTGTTGTTTAATCCAGCAACTTAAGTAGCGCCAGGGTCTAGATTCTGTCTCTACACTCTGCTAACTACAGGGCTGGTTTCACCATAAAGCTAGTTCTTTTCATGGTTAACCAGTAGTATTTCAGGCTACATTCTTCTGTTTTCATATCTAGCAGGAGTCAGCCCGTCAGTGGCTTTCTTCTCATTATGAGAAAGCAACGTCCTAGAAGCTCTTACATACCTCTTTTCCTTACCCATTGATCAGAATTGGTTCACATGCTCATTCCTAACTAATGACTGTCAAGGACAATGAGATTATCTATAGTCCAAGCAGACCCATTCCTTGAACTAAGGTCAAATTTCCAACATACATTGCTGCTACTCATTAGGGAAAGGCAACTACATAATGATATATTGCACGTATTTTTGGAAGACTCAAACATCTTTCACAAATTCTCTACTAACAAATATTGAATGAGAACCCATGTGCCAGGCTCTTTGTGAGGTGATCGGAATACAAAAATGGAAAAGACAGACATGATGCCTGATGACAAGGAGCTTTTGGTCTACATGGGGAAACAGACATTAACCAAATAATCAGTCAATTACTTAACTGTAATTGTAGGGAGTACCAAGTTAAATAATGCTATGAGAACACATAGGTGAACTTCACTGAGTAAGGGGATCAAGGAGGCTTCCCTGTAGAGTAACACTGTAACAGGAACCTGAAAGATGAGTAGAAGGCAGGAAGACCCAGAGAGTGAAAGGTGTAGTGGAGAATAACTTTTCAGGAGGAGAAAATATCTTTCGAGAAGACACTGAGTTAGGAGTAGCTTAGCTTATTTAAGAAATTGGGAGGAGTTTTCATATAGCATAGTGAGCATAGATAAGAGTGAAGCAGGATACAATTGAAAAGACAGAAATGACAGGAATCCTGTGGGAACTTGTAAGCCATATTAGAGATTCAGCACTTTGTCTGAAGAGCAATGGAAAGCCATTGAAGGGCTTTACGTAGATGAATGACAGGATCAACATTGTTTTAGAAACAGCATTTTGATTGCTCTTTCTGAATGAACTAGAATACACTAAAGGAAAAGGGAAGAGTAACTAGGAAATTAGAGTAAAAAGGCAGTTACAGGAAGAATAATCATAAGCCTATTCCAGGAGTGCTGAGGAAAGATGATAAACTCAGTATGATGTTAGTACAGAAGTGCAGAGGAAACATGGTAAATTCAGTATGATGTTAGTACAGAAGGAGAGAAGTAGCTTAATTCAAGAAATATTTGAGATAAAATCAGTAAGATTTAGTAAGTTGACAGATGTGAGGAGTAAGGGAGAGAAAGATTTTAAGGGTAATTCCCAGACCTCTGACATAAAGTATTAGATAAAACATAATGGTATCTACAAGATGGGAAACAATGAAGATGATTTTTTCCTATATCAAGGTCGTTTTTGGACATACTAAGGGTTCTCTTCTACCCTGAGTGCTCTTAAAATTCTTCTTTGCATATCTTCTGGACAGTTTCTTCTAGGGTTTGATGCCCATTCAAACAACTTGAGGAGCATTATCTACACCAAGTAAGGAGGAGGATGTAGGGGAATAGGACAGGACAGTTATTTCTAAACCCTTAGAAATAGCTCTTTCTTTTCCAAAGGAAAAATAACCCCCAAATTCTCATACAATACTATATAACACTATATATTCTACTATTTTATTTATACTGACATTAAAATACTTAACGTTAAACAAGTAAGCTTCTTTCAAATCTATAGGAAGTATTCATGAATATTTAAGTAATTGAGAGCCATTGACTTTAAAAAGTATCATTTAAATTACTATAAATATATTTTCAAAATTTAGAACACAACTTTAATATATATTTTACGATATTGATATTTTATAAAATGAATGCACGAAACAAAATAAAATGTTTACTATTTATTTTACTTACCTCTAAAAGAAAATCCCCTAGATACTGAATTGGATAAAATGGAGCCTTAAAGTTATCTTTTTCTTTCTCAGCTTTAATTCTTGCATTACTGGCAATCACATGAGTTATTCCACTTGGTGAACTTTTTGGTAAAATAACATTTGCCTTTCCAGCCTCCAAAACTCTAAATAAAAATGTAAATGGTATAAAAGTATTAGAAAATTTGAGTTTATTTAGTCAAATTATCTAAATTAATTATTTCTTAGTAGTATGAATGAACTTTTCTAATAGGGACTAATTTCTTTGGGCAATTGAGGATCACAGAGAATACTGCAGTAATTTCTTAAATTATAAATTGTTCAGAGCAGATATTTAAGAAGGCATAGTAGTCTTTTTACCCATCCATTTCTTGATAAAGGAAAGGCTTTTAGGGATCAAGAATATTAAAGTATTCCCTAAGGAAAAGTCATGTCAATAAACCAAAAGAATAATGAAAGAAGTCTAAGAAAGCAGCTATTCTCAAAGGTAATGTACTCCCAAGAAAGTAATTCTGGACCACAAAATATGGAACCAGTTGCAAACACTCCTAAAAAGTGAGCTTTCAAAAAATTTTAGCCTTGAACTACTTTAAAAAACAATTAGCCTTGATCTATGTTAAGAAATACATTTTACAAAATAAAAAAACAAAATTAGAAAAAACCAAACTAAAAAATCCATTTTACATTTAGACTAAGAAGACACACACAAGGAGAGACATACATCACAAAAATTTCATGAAGTTCTGCTTTTCTGCTTAGGCTTCAGAAAGCCACAAGAGAGGCTACCACCTAACAATAAGAAAAAGTCAAATAGGCCGGGCGCGGTGGCTCAAGCCTGTAATCCCAGCACTTTGGGAGGCCGAGACGGGCGGATCACGAGGTCAGGAGATTTAGACCATCCTGGCTAACAGAGTGAAACCCCATCTCTACTAAAAAATACAAAAAACTAGCCGGGCGCGGTGGCGGGCGCCTGTAGTCCCAGCTACTCAGGAGGCTGAGGCAGGAGAATGGCGTGAACCCGGGAGGCGGAGCTTGCAGTGAGCTGAGATCCGGCCACTGCACTCCAGCCTGGGCGGCAGAGCGAGACTCCGTCTCAAAAAAAAAAAAAAAAAAGAAAAAGTCAAATAATCTACAAAATCCTAACTTTTATTGACCCCATCAGAAAACCAAGGTAACAAGTCAACCTAGTAAGATGATTTCTGAAGAGGGATAAGCTCTTTTATGAAGAGACTGGACACCCAAACTATTTCACTTTTGGCAGATCAAAGGAGCAACACATCTCTCATAAAAACATGTAAAAATTGGCCGGGCGCGGTGGCTCACGCCTGTAATCCCAGCACTTTGGGAGGCCGAGGATCGAGACCATCCTGGCTAACACAGTGAAACCCCGTCTCTACTAAAAAATACAAAAAACTAGCCGGGCGCGGTGGCGGGCGCCTGTAGTCCCAGCTACTCAGGAGGCTGAGGCAGGAGAATGGCGTGAACCCGGGAGGCGGAGCTTGCAGTGAGCTGAGATCCGGCCACTGCACTCCAGCCTGGGCGGCAGAGCGAGACTCCGTCTCAAGAAAAAAAAAAAAAAAACAAACATGTAAAAATTAAGTAGTTTACGAAATTTAGGGGCAACTATAGCTAGCATCACAGTTCAGAAAACTGAAAGTCCGTGACATGAGGGAAACTTGTCCTCGCTAGCAAGCTCTTTGCCACATGACTCCATTAAATGCTCATGAAAAAGACTGAGGGCAGGTGAGAAATGCAGGGAGCTCTCCTTGACAGCATAAGCAGGCCAGTGGTGACTGGCTGCCATTAACGGATAGATATAAAACCAGGCCCACTTCTCCAGACCGTTCTCTCATACAAAGCAGAAGCCTTAAGTCCCCTGGGTAAGAAGAGACAGTCTTGCCCTTGGACCTAGGAAAAGATGCACTTCTTCTCTTGGAGGGGTAGAAATAAAACTTACCTGCCCTTAGGGAAGGGTTAGGAAAATCTGCTGCTGCCCAGCCGGGGAAAAATACCCACTGTTTCTGGATGAGGGATAGAAGCAAAAAACATCTTCCCTGAAGGAGCAGCAGTAATGTCACTTAGGTCCCAGATCTTGTATCAATACACAGCAGAGATCTAATACTGGAGGAGAGGCTGGAAACCCTCTTGCCCAGGCCACAGCCTGTATGTACAAGGCAGAATTTAGCTGCCACGGAAGGCTGATACACAAACGCTGAGAAAGACCCAAACCCAGGGACCAATGGTACAGAAAATGCTTAAGGGTGAAATCTGTCTAGCAAAACTGGGAATATATCTACCCACACCCTCCATCTGAAGCTGAGTAACAACAGAGAAACAAAGAGTATGAAAAGAGACACCTTCTATGACCTAGTAGTTCAAGGATTGCTGAAAGCTAGGGCAGAGCAAGAATAGTGATGAGAAACCCTCCAGCATTCCAGTCCAGTCCCCATAATAAGCACAAAGAAAGTGGAGCCCACTGCTGTAAGCTGAAGTGATGCACTGATGGTGATTATAGAATTAACAATACTCAAATTCAGCTGTCTTGTAGTTTTCTGCTGCTATAACAGAATACTGAAGACTTGGCAATTTGTAAGAAAAATAAGTTTTAATTCTTGGACTTTCAGAAACTCTAAGAGCATCTGATGAGGACTTTCCTGCTGCATCATCCCATGGAGATAAGCAGAAGAGCAAGAGAGACCATGTAAGAGCTTACTTTTATAACCAAGCCAGTGCCATGATAATGGCATTAATTCCTTATTAAAGGCACCACCTTCCAATACTGTCACAATGGCAATTAAATTTCAACATGAGCTTTGGCGGGGCGGGGAGGGGGGAAGGCAACAACATTCACCATAGCACTAGCTCAATAACTGACAAGATTAACTCAATCACCCATACTAACGACCTTATAGAAGAGGTGGGCCTACTTTTTAGATATAAATATTATTCACATCAGCCTCTATCAATATTCTTGTACATATGATATCTGGCATGCAATAAAAAATACTCAACATACAAAACAGGCAAGAAGAAAACCAAACCACTGTCAAGAGAAAGGAATCAACAATATACACTGAAATATGACCCACATGCTGAAATTATCAGAAAACAACTTTAACATAACTATGACTGATGTGTTAAAGGAACTAATGGAAAAAGTGGACAACGTACTTGAAGAAATGAGGAATTCATTGTAGAGTTCAATGGAAACGGTAGAAATAAAAGGCATTATATCAAAGAATTTCTTTGACAAGCTCATCTGCAGACTGAACACAACTGAAAAAGGAATCACTGAATTTTAAGATTGGTCAATAGAATTATCCCAACTAAAACTTTTTTTAAAAAAAGAATAAATCATGCAATAGTTATTGAAAATAATCAAATAGTTTAAAAAGCATGCAATGGAGTTCCAGAACAACAACATGAAGGAAGAAATATTTAAAAAGATAATGGCTGGAGACTATCATATTTAATAAAAAACCAAAAAACTCCACATACACAAGTTCAGAGATCCTCAAGCAAAATAAATCAATAAAATACACAAACACAAGCACTGTACTACACATCATAATCAAACTAGTAAAAACCAATGGCTAGGAGAAAATCTTGAAGAAAACCAGGGAAGACAAAATGAAACAAAGAGAAGAAAAGAATGACAGCTGACTTCTCATCGGAACTATGTAAGCCAGAAGAAAATGGAACAGAATCTTTATAATTATGAATTAAAATGAAAAAATTGTCGATCCATAATTCTATATGCAGTGAAAATATCTTCCAAAATTAAACACCTTCTCAATTAAAAAATGAGATAAATCATTCCCAGCACACTTACATTATAAGAACTGTTAAAAGGAGTTCTTTAGGCAAAAAAAAGTGTGATACCAGAGGAAAATCTGGAGCTACACAAAGAAACTAATAATGCCAGGAAATGGTAAAAATGAAGTCAAATATTCAACATATATTTCATTAAAATCATCTTAAAAGTAAATGACTAGCAAAAGTAAAATATTACCAATGTATTTGGAAGTTTATAATACAAAAAGGACAACAATAGAAAAAAGGATAAGAAGAACAAATGGAAATACAGTTGACTCGTGAACAACACAGGTCCACAAAAGTTACACACCAAGTGTGTCTGCCTCTCCTGCCTCCCCTTCCACCTCTTTTGCCTCTGATACCCTTGAGACAGGAAAACCAACCCTTCCTACTACTCAGCCTACTCAGCATGAACGCAACAAGGATGAAGACATTTATGATGATCCACTTTCACTTAATGAATAGTAAATATATTTTCTCTCCCTTATGATTTTCTTATACATATAACAAAAGTTATGTTAACTGTTTATGTCATCAGTAAGGCTTCCAGTCAACAGTAGGCTATTAGTAGTTACGTTTTTGGGGAGTCAAGTTATACATGAATTTTCAACTGCACAGGGGGTCAGCACTCTAATCCCACATTGTTCAACTGTATGTTGTTTTAGGGTTTCTGCACTACATGCAAAAAGATACTATTTGACATCTGACTATGAACAGTTAAAGATGGACACTGTATATACTAGAGCAACCATTAAATAAAGAGATCTAATACAGACATTAAAGGAAACCATTAAAAACACTCAACTAGTGGAAAAGAAGTCAAGGAAAAAGGGAAAGCAGAATAAATAAATGATGGGATGGCTGGGTGCACGGGCTCACGCCTGTAATCCCAGCATTTGGGAGGCCAAGGCAGCCAAATCACCTGGTCTCAGAACTTCGAGACCAGCCTGGCCAACATGGTGACACCCCATCTCCAATAAAAACACAAAAATTAGTCGGGCATGGTGATGTGCACCTGTTATCCCAGTTATTCGGGAGGCTGAGGCAGGAGAATCATTTGAACTCGGGAGGCAGAGGTTGCAGTGAGCCAAGATAGAGCCACTGCACTCCAGCCTGAGCGACAGAGTCAAACTCCATCCAAAAAAAAGAAGAAAAAGAAAATAAGGGCAGATGAGAAGAAAATAACCAGCAAGGTACTAGATTTAATTCAATTTGTTAATTAAATGTACATGTCCTCAACAATGCAATTAAAGGCAGAAATCATCAAATTACATTTTTAAGACACAACTCTAGAATGTCTACAAGAAACCCATTTTAAGTGAAAGAATAT